AGATTTAGGCAGCGATGCTGTTTTTCCCTGTCGAATGTCGTCATGTTCCACTGCTCCATGACAATGCATGAAATACAGAGGAAGCAAAGGCTGTAGATAGAGTCAGTCAAAATACTCATATGTGAGCTGTTAAACAGACTACTTGTTATGTATCAAGAAGTAAATTATGTGTACCTCTGAACCACCTCCAGTGACCAAAACTGTTCCCAAGTATAGGATCATTTACAGGGCAAACCTATGTAATGTGGGAATGAACTGCTTCCATGGCTCTGAAGAGCTAGGCTGTTAGTAAATACAGTGCATGCCCTTGTGGTTCAGTAACTTTTTGATCCTGCATAAAGCCCTAACAAATTATTATGAAATATATTAAAATACATAACATTTTCATTATTGGTGTCAACTCAAAAGTCCCAGCAGAGCAATGGTTGCACAGAGCTTTCCCGCTGTGAAAAAGCCCCCTTCCTTTAATTTAACTGTGAGCCTACTATGTTATTTCTTTAACAATATTTATGAATCTCCTCCATGAAAAGTGTGACATGCAAACCACTACTGTATAAGATAATAAAGCACTGCATATTATTACTCTGTGGCATATTGTATTGTAGTTTAGATGCTCTTTCTTTCCTTACTTGTTATTTCCTTATGACCCAGCATATGGCTGTTTCTAAAGGAGCTAACCACAGTTTCTTCTTCATTTTTTATCCATTGCAGATGGTTTATTTCTTGTACAATTTCTCTGGTATGGGTGTGGTTTAAAGTTGTCTATAGATAATTTGCATCACACCTCCTGTAGCCATAACAGGAATCATTTGGCTTTCATTCTTCCACCCACTGGCTAATAGCCAATGGAAGAAGCTATTGGCCACAAGTGAGCGATCCTTTTAAGCTCACGAAAATGCTTGAGTACACCCAGCAAAGCTTGAAGATGTATCTTGCACTGTCCTAATGCCATGTGAAACTTTACTGAATTAAAACAAAAATCAGTGTGTGATGCAGGATACATCACACACTACCCTGGAACTTGACAGTGAGTCAAGGCTTGTATCTTTTATTCTATAATCATAGGTTATGATATAGACTCAGTAATTTTACCACTGGGAAAGCCAATGCTTCCTTTTTATCTTAGCCTCATCTTTATTGTGCACATAATATGGTGTCCACATTAACTAACGTACCTAAAAGATCTTGCAGTAGACAGCTCAGCAGAAACATAGTGTGTCCTCCTTGAGATCAATAGAATGCCCTTGTGTTTGGGACTGTTTGATTTATTTCGAGAAGGCATCCCTAAGAGATTTCAACCACTCAAAGCTGTATTTTATGAAGTCAATGCCTAATAAGCTGGACAGAGTAGTCTGTTGCAGAAAACTGCTCCTAGTCCTCTTAATTTGTTTTGCAGTACAAATTGAAGCAGGAAGGCGATAAACACAGGGCTGCCTTTGGAGGAACTGGCTTATGAAGCAAGATGTCTGTACTCACTATAGACAGTGCTGATCTTTGGTACTGAGGCAAGTGATTCACCATGCAGTCCACTTTTTGTCAGTTGTGTTTAGATCCTGGGAATAAGCTCAGGTGGGAGAAACCACTGGCCAGTGTCATAGGAGAGCAAATAGTAAGAGGAGGCTACCTGTGAAACTCTCCAGCTGTGGCCTCTACTGCTGCCATGTGTGTAACACCCGTCAGTGTGATCATGGAGTTTCTTCCCCCTTTAGCATAACTCTGGATCAGCTGGCTTTTCAGTCCACCACCCCACCAGTTTCCATTGCTTTGGGAGAGGATTTGGGAAAGTAATTGCTGTCTGAGCTTCAACTGGCCACTTAGATTGCATCCACCTTCCTTTGCCATTTTCATGTGAATGGGCCATTTCAAAGCATAAGTTTGCTAGTCTTGCATATGGTGGGTGTGTCAGCATATAGCAATACTGCTGCAGTTAGTTGCTGTCACTGCTGTATGTTGAAGGATTTTCCTCAGATTTGGGATGGTTAGTCATCAGTGGATAATTATGTGATTCTGGTCTTCTTATTGGTTGCTTTGCTAGACTTCACCAGATGCTTAAAATATTTTAACGGAATGCTGTAGAGGTGTGGGGAAGCTGTGCTTTACAGCTTTTGTAGAGATTTAAGGACAGACAATAAAGTGTGTACATACAGAGGTGTGGGGTGGTTGTAGTCATAAGGATTTATACTGCCTAGAATTACATAGCACCTTCCATAAACAGAAGCAGTGAGCCGAAATGACTTGCCCAGAGCTTCAGATTGAACAGCCTGTAACCAAATGGAGTATTTCCAGTTCCAAAGCTCTCTTTGAATCACTGCCCACCACCACTCCCTCCTTTCTCTCTCAGGTATAATCATGAACACCATTTCCCACTTCCCAATCCTGGGAAGAATATGCTGCACTGGTGACTTCGATTTAAGGTCATACGAGGCAATTGTACATGGGGCAGAAGGAGAAGCAAAATAAGCACAGAAATAAAAGTGGGGCCTTGCACAAAGAGCAAGGTTTACTCATTCTCCCTATCGCCATAGAAATGAACAAGGTAGTTTTAGCTTCTAAACTGCATGAAAAGGCAAATCACATCACCCAGGAATGACAGAGAGCTGGAAGATCACTGCCACCCACTCAAGCACTTCCCTTGCAGAATGCAAGGAAGAATAGTGTCTCCTTATTTCACTAAACCTAGAGCAATGCATACTGCTTAAACGCTCAATAGATTATTTTGGTAAAGCAACATATCCTTCATGTTTAGTCCATTGTATGTTCATGAAAAGCAAACAGATTGGCTGAAACATGCTGGATTCCTAGACTTACATCTACAGTTGTAGACTTACATTTTAACCTCTTTCATCTAGTACTGCAGAATGGAAACTAGCTTGATGATTATCATTGCATGATGGTTGATATTATATATAGATTTCCTGAGGAGGATCATACCTGTGTACTGGGTGGTAACACTGATTCTTATGTAGAGTCACACGTGTTCACACTTTAAAGGCATATGTTCCTGAAAGAGGAGCAGATAAAAAGGCAAAAGGCAATGATTTTAAAAACATGTTGGATGAAGACAGCCTGCTGTAAGATTGACTGTGCAGCAAATGAAATGGGAAATGAAATGAGGTCAGGCTTTTAAAATACACCATTTATCAGCTATCTAAATCTTAATCCAGCATTTCATTGGCTTTTCTGTTCTGCAAACAGCTGAACTGCTGTGAAAACAGCCACAGAATCCCTCCGGGCCAATGTTCAATAGAGTCCAGCCTTAGTGCTTTCATGCTAGGCTATCACCAGCAACATTTGTGCATGGAGTAACCTAGTACTTCTACATCAAGAAGCTAGGTTATTTCATTTTCATAAAGAATTTGAAGCCTTGATGGACACACACAGTCCAGCTTTAATAACATTTTGTTTGCCATTCAATTGTTGAAGTAGCTTTAGCAGTACAATCAGAAGTGTGATTATTTTGCACGATGCAAAATTTGCATGTGTGATATGCACAGGAAGAAAATGCATTATCTTCATTTTCACACAGTCCCTTCTATCACTTATGCTTGACTTGGAACACTGTAGAAAAACAATGTTTGCAGCACACTACACCCAGGGTAAGAGTATATCTGAAATGTATACTTACCAAGGTGTGGACTTTTACACAGATGGATACTGGACTTAATCTGTTATCTCCACACTCAGCCAAACCTATTGCTTGCTTCACCCATTCAGATGCTGCACTTAGGGCTGGATCCCAGTAGCATTACAGGGGGCAGCATGAGCTTGTGAGGTGAAAGCAGTTTCAGTGCAGTTGCTTTCAGGATCAGGCTGTTAGATCCATCCCCCCCCCCCATCATAGAATGTCTTTTTATCATGCTGCTGAATGATGTGTTTATGTACTATTATTATGTCTAACAAATGTACAATATTCAAACTTTTAATTACCCTAATGTCTTGGAGGTCTCCGGGGTATGCAGATATAAACATTTGTTGTGCAACAAGTGCTAAACTGTATACTTCACTTCATTCTTTTGCTGAAAGAAATGTCTGCAACAACAAATGCTACACTACCTTTAATTGCTAGCATGGAAACAACATTTATTGACAGTTTACTTGTTGGAGCTATGGAATGTCCTCATAGAATGTGGGTACCCGATGCATAAATTTAATAGATTTTTTATCCTTTAGGAGAGTGCAACCCCATCTAGACAGACCCAATTGGACAGATGAACAGCCCACTAACAGTACCTCCATCTCGCCTGAATTGAGTCTCAGTTTGTTGACCTTTACCTTGACCATGCTCAGACACTGATTAAGAGCATCCACTGCCTCACCTGTGTTTAATGATAAAGAAAGGTAGAGCTGAGTGTTACTGGCATATTGGGGGCACCTCACCCAGGTTTGACTTGGAGTCCTGCTCTGAGCAGGGGGTTGAACCTGCTGGCTCTCTTTGCCCCTTCCAATGCTACTCTTCAATTATTCTATAATTTTAGTAAGCCCTGATCCATGAGGATAGAGCAGAGGGATTCATAGTTTTTTCTATGGTTTTTTTGAGTTTTTTTATTTTTTTCAAAACTCAAAAATCTGAGTTTTTGCAGATTCCTTTCAACAGCCAGCTTCATATTGAGCATCTGACACTACAAAATAAGCCATAAAACATTATAAAAAGTCATTGAAATTTTACTTTTAGGTTGACCCGAATGTCTGAATTCTTAATGTTTGAATTGGCCATGAACTGCAGCACTGCAAGTTTTTTCCTCTTTTATATCATATATGTATATTCTATTAATTTTAGCAGTGTGTTGTGGCACGTAAGCAAATAGGAGTTGGTCAAGTATTTGTGTACTAAAGCAGTTGATAGTGAAATGGGTACATCACAGTAGTTTAATCTATGTAACATATAATTAATATTTGATTGAATTTGTTTTTCCCATCACTCAGGTAGGTGTTCTCTGCTAAGGACATCAAATTCTGCCTTAAAAAATTAATTTTGGACATTTTTTCTTTTCTTCCAATAGACAAAACTTGCTAATAGCACTTCAAGCATGATTGTTCCCAAGCAAAGGAAGTTATCTGCAAGCTATGAAAAGGAAAAGGAGCTGTGTATCAAGTATTTTGAGCAGTGGTCAGAATCCGACCAAGTGGAGTTTGTGGAACATCTCATCTCCCAGATGTGTCACTATCAACATGGGCACATCAACTCATACCTTAAGCCTATGTTACAGAGGGATTTCATCACAGCACTGCCAGGTATTCTAGTGGGAATCGTAGGATGAGCTAAATTGCAAATACTGGTATTTCCCTCCAGAACGTTAAGCTACAGTTGCTAAATCTAATTAACCTATGTTGCAAAAGGCCTTTCATAATTAACAGGTGCTTTTTGACTGCCAAGCTACAAGTGGGATCTATTGAATTAAAGAAAGTTCCTGGTTTAGACCTAGAATTGAATCTCTGACTGGGTTCAGACAACATGATGATCCCACATTTTAACAACAACTCAGATGTTCAACAACAACCCAATACTCCAGTCTTGAGTATGGATTGAGTGTAGATTGTTGTTGAACCATAGTGTTGTTGCTGAAATGTTGGTTACTGTGGTGTGTTGAACCCAGACACACTAATGAACCATGGTTTGTTGTTGTTGGGTTGTAAACTGTAGATTTTTTGTAGTTAATGAACTCTGGTTTTTTAGTGCAGCTGGGATCGGCCAACACAATAACCCTCATTTCAGTGTTAACTCACAATTCAATGGCAACCCACACTCAACATATTCAACCCTTAATTTGTGGGTTATTATGCCATCTGAAACCAATGCCTGTCTTCCTGTGTACAGTTTGATACATTATATGAATAATTTATTTTCTGAACTTGAAGTAATCTAACGTAGAAGTTGCAGCAGTATTGCCACCTCCAGTCATGTGAAAATAATATGCAGGAACTTGCTTTCTCTGTGCTAGCTTCATGGTTGAAAAATATGAATGCTAAAATTGAAAGAAGGAAGATGTTAAGTGGTACTTACGAAAATATTTGCAATTCTATGTACACTGAAGGCACCATAGCTGGGATGGGCAACATGTGGGCCCTCCAGATGTTGAACTACAACTCCCCTCAGACTTCAGCATTGACTGTGCTGGTTAAGGCCGATTTAAGTTGCAGCCCATGAACATCTGGGGAGCCTCATGTTTCCTGTCTCTGCAGTCTCTGTAAGCTTTCCACATTCACTGTTTTGAAACAAAAACTTAAGTAACAAAGTGCTAGCTAGATACTAGTGTTGAAACACCTCTTTGTAAGTAATCAGTATTCTTTCACTGTAGCCTGTTCTTAGAGTTATGTAGCTTCTAGCCTTTTAAGTTTGGTTGTATTTTTTCCTAGTAGTTTTTAGTACCTAGTTTTACATATATGCACAAACAAATAATCCTCCATTTTGTTCCTTATAGTAGCTTGTTTATCATCTCATAAGAAAGCTTCAAAAAGATAGGCTTCAAAAAGCATGTGTAGGCAACAGTATCTTTCAGCCTTCCTTTTTAGCAAGCCATTCTGTGTCAGTAGTCCCAAAAAGGAATACTTATTTGCTGATATTTTGACTTGTAACACTTAAGCTCTCATAAGAACTTAAGAAAAGCCTTACTGGATCAGACCAGTGGTCCTTCTGCACACCATTTCGCTTAGCGGCAAACCAACTGTCAACAGGATCCTTCAAGCAGGATCAGTACAAGAGTTCTGCCTGCTCAAGCTCCTGAGCAACTAGTGAATTCTGGCATGCTTCCTCTGATAAAGGGAGTACCACATGGAGGCACTAGCAAGGCAAGTAGCCATTGATAGCTTTATCCTCCATGAGCTCGTCCAAACCAATTCTAAAGCCATCCAAAGTGGTAGCCATAGTTCCTGTGGCAGTGAATTCCAGAGTTTAGCTATGCACTGTGTGAAGAAGTATTTTATCTGTCCTGAACTTACAACCAACCACCTTCATGGAATGACTCTGGGTTCTAATATTATTAGGAGAGGGAGAAAAAAGTCCACATCCACCTTCTCCACATGTGTATAATTTAAATGCCTCTATCGTATCACCCCTTCCTAAGCTAAACAATTCCAGTTGTTGTAACTGTTCACAAAGGCTTCTTTCACTTGGCGAGCTGGCTCTGTTGCAACCCTGCATTCTTACATAGTTCTAGGTAGGTTGGCCCAACTGCTATGGCAGTCTGGTTGAAGGGCCTCTAGTTACAGAATTTGTGCTTTTGCATCATAGAGCTGAGCAACCCATCAGCAACATGTTGAGCTGAGCAACCCAACCCAGAGCTGAGCAACCCAACAGCAGTAGGTGCAACATGTTAGGTTCAGCCTTAGCAGCCACAGGGTGAGGTTAACTAAAGACTTTCTTGGCTTCTGGATGTAAAACTGGTAATTTTTCCCATCCAGAATCTGATGCCAAGGAAAGACAATGTGTGGAGGATGGCCATTGTCCTGTTGTACAATCATACTGTTTTAACCCTACTCACTATGTCATTGCTTCTGCTGTAGTGATTTGCCTGATACTTTGAACTTTTTGTTTAGCTTGAACATGATGAGCGATCAAATGCCAGGGCATTAACTATACAATCTCTGTTTAAATATGCCTTCGAAAAACTCTGTATGATAAAGAAATAGCCCATATTGAACTCAGTTTTTAAAATTGTTCTCTGGGTTTTTTCCCTTTTTAAATAAGTTTTCTTTTGCTTAGCAAGTAGGTTGTGCTAGTTGTTTAATCTTTATTGGCTTGTATTTTTATTTAAAAATAACTTGCCCTGCATCTTGTGAGAATTGTTTCTTAAAAGTCATTTTCCCCTCAGATTTATGTTTTGATTAATTTGTCCAGAGATCACAGAAGAAAGGCATAAAACAACTTTGGTGCATGAGAAGCTCATTTCAATGTTCTTAGTTTTTCCATCAGCAGCAGCAATGGCTGGGACATGATGTCCTACATAAACCCTGATAAGAGTCATCTGATGGGCACCTCATTGTGCATCTGCCCATTTAAGCATAGACATATGACCTTAGATGCCCAAAATGCATTTTCTGCTTCCTACACTCAGCCTCTACTGCTGACAAATGATGCTCAGTCTTTGGGGCAGCTGTAACAACAGCAGGAAATGAAGCATTTGATCTTACTCCGGATGTATGGTAGCTTTTTATTTGGAAGACAGAGAAGTTGGCTGTAATACTAATCTGGCTGCATGCCTCCTTTCCCAAATGAAATTGGGGGAGATAGACTTGACCAAGCAATTATGCTATCCTTGAAAATAGATTAGACAATATATCCACTAAAAAAAAATAGTAGTTCACGTTTCCTAAATGCCCCAAGAAGCTATTCAACAATTTCCACTGTTGAATCCCCTAATCTTGACAGCAGCATTTCCCCAGTTGGAAGGAGTCAACCTACTAAATCCTGCAAAGGCCCTTTGCACCTCATACAGCCAGCCTCATATATTCAGTCATATAACTAGGCTTTCTTTCTGCCAGTTCCTTATTGCAAAACAAACAAACAAACATTTATGAGGACTTGGTTCAGTTTAGATAATAGTCTCAAATATCCACTTTCCCCAACACATGTCAAAAGGGCTATAATATAGTGGTAGGAAGGACTTCTGTCTGTAATAGTGGAAAACTACTGTCCATCATTGTATACCAGGCTGGAAGGTTTGTGACTCTCCAAAGATTTTGACTTACAACGCCCTTCAACCCTGCCCAGTTTTAGGAGTTACAGTACAGAATACCTGGAAGGTCACAACTTGCTCATCCCTGTTCAGATTTGGGCTGCTCTGCGGCATCTCCTAATGGTCAGAATCAGAATGCCCTCCTCAGTATTTGCAGGATCAGTTCCAGCCCCTGCTGGAAGTCTCCTGAGGAAAACCAGCTAGGAGCCCTGAGGGAAGTTATGCAAGAACAAGCTCTTCCTTCCAAAACTTGCCTCGGCACCACAGGTCTTCTTGTGTGCCTGTATCTTGCCTGACCTGTATTCTGCCTTGCTGTTTGTATCTGGCCTCACTGTCTAACCTCAGCATCATGGGTTATCTTGCTGGCTGAGGTGTGGTTCAACTCCTACACTTTGCCTGACCCTTGTTCATTTGGTTCCAGTTGTATCCTACCTTGCCCTGTACCTTGTGTGTCCCGCCTCACCGTGTTGCCTCAGCAGTGCAGGTTTGCCTTCTGGCTGGTTCAGTTCCTACATCTTGCCAGACACTTGCCATTTATCCAGTCCAGTTAAACTGCCTCAAGGTACCTGTACCCCTATTTGTCTTCCTGCTCCTGACCCCTTGGCTTATTTATGATCATGTGCTTGTTCTGCCCTGATACATAATTCTGGTTCTTGACCCTGGCCTGCTCTGTGACTTTGACTTGGACTTGTCATTAAACCTTGCTTTTGGACTTTGGACTCAGTCTCAACTCATGTTCTGCTGTCCTGATCCCAGCGACTCTGTCTTATTTCTTGTCACCCATGTCCTGGCTCTGTACCCTGACAATCGCTGGTGTGGACTGTACTAAACATTGAAGGACCAATGGTCTGGCTTGGTATAAGGCAGCTTCCTTAAACTCCATATTCTTCAGAACCCCTTCTCATATTTTTATAAGTGAAAATTGACGTTTTTGTATGTCATAACTGGTCTCCATCTAATCATTGTCTCTGTCATGTCCAGCTTCTGTTCGCTCATTTGTTTCTATAGTTCAAGGAAGCTACTTTTCACCTCTAGATGGTACAACATCTCTTGCCTTTCAGATCACTCCTTCCCACTTCAGTTTAGTTTGAAGCAGGGTCCTTTTGTGGCTTCAAAAATGCCTTCCTGGTAACTATTGGTAGAACAGTAGTTGCATTTGTGCATATTACATAGTACTGTTTTGGGACTCTGACGGAAATGTTTTTAAAATATATGCTGAATTTAGCACATCTCTGCATATGTTTTGTTTTGATTTTGTGTTGGTTACAGTTAAATATAGGGGCTGCAGGTGGCACAGTGGTTTAAACCGCTGTGCTGCTGGGCTGGTTGATCGAAAGGTCGCTGGTTCGAATCTGCACAACGGAGTGAGTTCCCGTTGCTCTGTCCCAGCTCCTGCCAACCTTGCAGTTTGAAAGCATGCAAATGCAAGTAGATGAAAAGGTACCACTTCAGTGGGCAGGTAACAGCGTTCTGTGCACTTCGGTGTTTAGTCATGCCGGCCACAGGACCACGGAGACTGTCTGTGGACAAACGCTGGCTCCCTCAGTTAGGAAATGGAGATGAGCACCGCCCCCTAGAGTCAGGCATGACTGGACTTAACGTCAAGGGGAAACCTTTACTTTTACCGTTAAATATTGTATCATTTGATTATATTGCTTAAATATATTGTTGTAAGTGTATTATCTTGTTCTATTGTAAGCTGCCCAGAGAGCTCTATGGGCCATGGGGTGGCATACAAATGTACTAATAATAATCTGTTAGGCTTGAGTGGAAGGTAGAATGAAGGAATCCATTCAGTTCAAGCAGCCTAGGGTGAATCCCATATTTGCTTATGGAGTATTAATCAGTTTATTACACCAGTGCTTCTTTTATATATTAGTCAATGTTACCTTTTCTTTTCCCACTTTTAAGCATCAACAGTGTTAAGACATGTACAGGCTGTTCTAACGGCCATGCTAGGAAATGCTTCTTCTGCCTGGCAAAATAAATGGCATCAGTAAATTATTGTTTATTTCCTCCTCTTTGTGTCTCACCACACATCTGTGCATGCATACTCATGTACATACACACAAATAACTTGCAGGTACCACTTCCTTCAGGGTGTACATTAGGAATATATACATATTCCATTGTTCATCGCATCAAAAAGCTCCTGTATTAGCAAAAAACAGCTTTTGAGCTGTTGGAGTGCAAGAACAGCTGTAGTAGCAAAATGAGAAATGGTCCTAATATAGCAAGATTTTGGGGGATGCATCATCATGAGAGAAAAGCCTTCTACGGAACATCTCCCTAGTGCTAAAACCCATAGAAATAGATTGGAATGACTTCCTGGATTCTTTATCTGCTTTAATGCTTGCTGTTTCTTATCCAAAGGAAGATGCTGGTTCCTGAACTTCACAAGAGACTATTCTCTGCCCAGTCATCCCAGCTCTGTAATACAAGGAAGGGAATGAGCAATGTTGGTGATGAAAACATGTTCTTAATAGTTGTGGGGTTCTGTTAATAAGCTCCCTTACGCTCACTGACTGCCTCCACTTTTCTTCCAGCTCGAGGTCTGGATCATATTGCTGAGAATATCCTGTCATACCTGGATGCCAAGTCTTTGTGCGCTGTTGAGCTGGTGTGCAAAGAGTGGTACCGGGTGACGTCTGATGGCATGCTGTGGAAGAAGCTGATCGAGAGGATGGTCCGGACAGATTCGTTGTGGAGGGGTTTGGCAGAGCGGCGAGGATGGTGAGGGAATCCTGTCGGCATCCTTTGCCCTGCTCAGTAAGGGAAGTAGGCCAGTAGTGTATGATGGCTCCCAGTTTGACCATTCATTTTTCCTGAAATGTTGGGGCGTGTGTTAAAATCCATCATCTTTATGTGCATTTTCTCTAAGAAAATATATCATCTCCAAACTCCAGTGGGCATTTGAGAGGCATTGAAGAGTATGTTGTCCTTTCAACAAGAGGGTCTTTCTTCCTGCCTACACTTCGTGGCATTGATACAGGGTTCTAGTGTTGCTTTTCCTCACTTTCATTCATTTATTCACTTGTTTCTATTTCAGCCAATAGCCAAAGCTCTCTGGGAGGCTGACATAAAAACAATAAAATGCCACCAAATCTTTTCAAAAAAAGCATAAACATAAAAAACTAAAAACATGCAATGAAGAATAGCTCAGTAAAAGAAACACTTAAAATGAGTAATCCCCTCAAGCCCCTGGCTAACCAAGTATATTTTTAAAAGCCTTGGCATAAGGGGATATCTTAACTTGGCACCAAAAAGAAAGTCCTCCCTCTTGCTGCTGCCCTCCAAGATCCCCTTGGAGCTGGCAATCAGAGGAAGGTCACGGATGTTGAGTGAAGTTATCTTTATGGATTCTATAACTGTACAATAGATTCTTCTACAGTTGGGAGAGGCACTGTGTCAGGTATTGTGGTATCAAGCTGTGTACCATGAATTGGGCCTGGAAGCATGTAGGCAGCCAGTGCAAGTGAGCCAGAACTGGTCATATGTGTTCAGACCTTCAGCTCTCAGTTACTAATCTGCCTGCTGCATTCTGCATGAGCTGCAATTTCTGAACAATTTTCAAGGGCAGACCTACATAGAGTGCATTGCAGTAATGTTACATAGAGATTACCAGAACATCGATTACTAAAACCAGGCTATTCTTGTCCAGATAGAGGCACAGATAGGCCATCAGACAAAGCGAGAAGAAGACACTCTGGACTACTGAGGCCACTTGAGCCTCAAGTGACAACAATGGATCAAGGAGCACCCCCAACCGATAAACCTGTTTCATCAAGGGGAGTGCAACCCCATGTAGAACAGGTTGAACACCCTTTATCTAGTCGGAGAACCATCCACCAACAGCATCTCAACTGCACTGAGCATCAGTTGTTAACCTTCATCCAGTCCATTGTTGCACTCAGAACAGTTTAGCAAATCCACAGCTTCACTTGCTGACAATGAAACGGAGAAATAGAACTGTGGATCATCAACATATTGATGGCAGTGCACTCCAAAACTCTGGATAACCCCAGCAGTTTCATGTAGTCCTCCCTCTACATGGGGGATAGAACTGAGGAATTCCATGCTGGTGAATCCATGTGATTCACAATATTCCCCAAACACTACCTTCTGGAGACAGCCCTCCAAGCAGTCATTGGAGCTACTGCAACTCCCAACTCAGCCAGCCACCCCGGAAGGATACCATATTCAATGGTATCAAAAGCTGCTGAGAGGAGAAATACTTTTTGCAAGGGGGAAGACAGTTTTTCCACAGGAACTCCAACAGCCAAAAATGGTATTTTTTGAACACAAGATATGGAAATTAATGGAGAAGGATGTCATGAAACAGAATCATCATTCTGTTCAATGTACAATAAGCTATACTTTCAAACAGGAAGCATTATGGAATAATTTCATGCCCCTTGAAATTGCTATTGTCCCAGTGAATGGGGAATGAAGCCCTTGTGATAAAAGAGTGGAAGCTGCTTTTGATAAAGATGTTGAGACTTCAGCAGCAAGTTTCTGAGTTTCTGTGACTGATGCAGTTTTTGCCTGAACACTGCACCGGTGATCAGAAGAATTTGCTTCTACCAAGCTCTTCTACATCTGATCCGCTGAAGAACACATTAGGGAAAATCTCCTACTCTACTCCTGGAAGTTTTCTCATCATTTTAAGTAAAACTCAAATCCAGGTTTTCTGTTATGTATTTCATTGTGAGACTTTCAGCTAAATGGCCATTTATAAAGTGAATGACTGAACCATGGGGACACTCGAGGTCCCTTCAAAAAGAATTGCTTCCATTGTAGGAGCTGATAGCCCAATGTTCTTCCCTCCAGTTAGATCATCTGGGTTCAGTACATCTTTCCTTAGAAGGGTGGCAGTCTCCGCAGAGAGTTGGTGTACCCATTTCAGGGTCCTGATTAACACAGCTGCCAGCTTGTTTAGATGGGATCTTTCCTATGCAGCAACTTCAAACCCTTAACTTTAAGGCTTAAAGTGTCATGTGAGCTGCACACTGTGAGATGTCTCGTTCATCCTTCCCATTACTAGGAATAGTCTGTGATATATGCCTTAGAGATAGTAAGGATTCAGTAGTCTTATATAGCATAAGTAATCTACTAGAAGTCAAAGTCATTGAAGTTTTTCACATATGATAGGTCAATTTGGTTTGTTTGTTTGTTTGTTTTTAGAAGATACTCACAATTAGAGATCTATTCCATCTTCAGATATATGTATCTGGAGTCATGGAGCCAACTGGGTGACTTTGGGCCAGTCACAGACTCTTAGCCTAACCTACCTCATAAGATGGTTATTGTAGGGATAAGATTGAGTGCAACAGGAGAACAATGTAAGCTGCTTTAAGTTTTGTGTAAGAAAAAGCAGGATGGAAATCAAATAAAATCATCATAACATAGATCACTAATAATTACTCAGAAATTCAGATAGAATAGTATAATAGTGCTTCTATTTGCAGGATTAACCAAACTCTAAAACTACTCAGTGGACATTTTATTAGATGCTTTCCTTTCTAGGGTAATCCCCATAATATACAATTTTCTATTCAAGGGGCCTCCCTAATAAGATATTTGTGAGATGGTTTGATATTCATATTTCAGAAACAAAAGTGACAGCTAAGGCATTTTAGCAGCTATTAAATTTATCTAAAAATAATAATAAGGACCAAACTTGCAAGTGCAATTTCTATTAAGAGCATTGACATTACGAGTATGTTGTATTTTAGCAGATTATAAGGCCAAATAATGTGTTTGAAAAGTTTTAGATCTTCTGAAATACTTGCATGTTGTACTGATTACTAGATGTACTCTAAATTGCTTTCTCCAGATTGCTTTCTCCATAGTAATGTAAACAGCAAACAAAGCATAGTCACAAGTTTCTGCATCTTCAGAACCTAGAGCAGGTGATGAATGGACCAGCCTAAGCTCTTGGTGGGTCATAGCCCATCAAACAGCACATTAGTAAAATGCATGGGCAGTAATAGGGATGCTCTGTTTCAGGATGCTGACAGAAAATTATTTTCTCTACCCTTGCATAGATAAATGATACTCTTTCCCAGGCCATAGAAAGTTAGTCCGTTTATACCGGCATAAAAGGCAACTTGTATATGATACTTTGGACTGTTTTCCTGGTGCTTCTCACAGGTCGGGTATATAAGATGACCTCCAATTTCTGCTTTGCTATTTCTGGTTTCAAGGGTCCTCTTATATGCCAGTATATACAGGTATATCTCTAGGGAAAAACCCACAAATATCTCTAGTAAAAAAATGCCAATATCTCTAAGGAAAAAACATCAATATCTCTAGATTTTTTGCATCCACCAAGATACAAAACATGCAAGTGAAGCTGACTAGTGCCAAGACAAAGAGCATGGCATCCCCAAACAGAAATCCCAGAGATATTTGCAGGTTTTCCACTTTTGCAGGGGTCCTACAGTTTCAGGCATCCACTGGGAGCTTAGATCCTATCTCCCATGGATAGGGGGGTCCTACTATATGATGAAATTTTTTCTCCTGACATATGACCCCCTGATTTTTGCCTCCCTATCTCTGGTTTCAAGTGTTGTCTTACATGCCAGTATATATGGTAACAGTTCCATATTTGAGTTTTTCCTGATTTTCAGTAGGATCAAAAACAGTTGCAGCAACAGGACCACTTCTGCTTGCCTGAGTATGTGTCGGGAAGGCGGGGTCAGCTACACACACATTTGAGAGTAGATGGGCAAAACCGACTGCATCAAAACAAATTAAGTGAAACACTTAATTTTAAAACTTGGGGAATTGTCAACACTTAATTTTTCTGCAAATCTCTGTTCAAAATGTTTTAAATTACATAGTTTCCTCCCCCTTTCTCTCTGTTTTTATTTATTGATTGGTTATCTGCATATCTAACAAGACTGATTCATGTCTGTTAAAAGGAATAGTCAAATATTATAGCCTGCAGTGTTCCCTCCCATTTCCCATCAACAAAACAACAGTACATTAGTAACAGGTTGTCAAAAGCCGCCTGTTGCATTTATATCATTTCTTTTTTCCTCTTGTGATGAACCCAGTTCATCATCACAACAGCAGCCCTGGTGGGCTGAGAGTACATGGCTGGCCCAAAGTCACCCAGTGAGCTTCATGGCTGAATGCAGACTAGAATCCAAATCTTCCCTGTCCCCTTGCAAACTAATCATTACATCACACTGGCTCTCACATGTAATAATTACATAATGCAGTATGATACAGGATAGATGTGCTGCCAGAAATCACCTAGTGATCTAGCTGTGATGTCATCTAGAATTCCAGGAAATCAGCACATTTTCCAGAAGTTTTTGCAGAACAGTAGACCTGCTATGGTTACCACTAAAAGCAGTGCAATCTCAGATTTTTTTAATGGATTGAAAAAATAAAAAAAAACCCATAATCTCCTTGTTCTTTAATCTGATGAAACCATGTAGAGTTCAGAGCACCTTCTTGCCCAAGATATTTCTCAGCATAGCTTCAAAGTTTATGGCAAGGGAGAGATACATAGAAAACAATCTGTCAAAACTGTTGTAATACGACAGGGAAGGGAGAGCTGAGAGCTGGCCTAGGCTAAATGCTGCACCTCAGATGCCAGAATTATACTCAGAGGCATTTCTGCTCATCTCTACTTCACAGGAATGTTGCCAGGCAGAAAAATCGTTAGTATGCTCATGGTGGGATTTACTTGCTTCCGCACAGTGTTTGCTGGCTCCTTAACTTTTGGATGAAGGATTTGAAAAAAATCACACAGTAGGAAGTAACTGCCATCCACTGGGTCCCTCCATCCACAAAACTAAGTTGATAAATAACCTTATGCAGTTTCCTAGAAGCACTGGTAAAGGGCACTGGCTGCTACAGTTTAAGGATTTATTTTAATGTTAATGTATTTTAAGATTTTCACACTGCTGTTGGAATTTGAGTCATCTTTTAGTTTTATTCTAATTTAATTGGACTTTTCTTAAAATATAACCTGTTGTGTTACTGTATGCTGTGACACAGTAACATGTAATGCTATAATACTGTTACTGTGTTTTGTGACTCACCCAGAGAGGTTTGACTATTAGACGATATATAAATGTAAATAAATGAATAATCACATTGTGGGAAATTTGCGAGCTACTGGGATGCTGTGATCACTCCTCTTGTAAGGAATTTCATGTGTGCACCCTTGCTATCAACTGTGGAAGCTGCCCTTTTGAAAACATAAAAAGAACTATAGTTTTACTTAGGTACCTATTAGCCTGTGAAACTGCCACATTTCTAAAGGCAATATTATTTGAATGAGACACAGACCTTCATCCAAATGGGGTCTAATCAACCTTTTCCATCTATCCTGTAAAAGCACCACATCTCAGTGACTGGCCTGAATGTATGAGGAGGGAAAAGATGTCGCCGCCACTTCTGTCTCGTGCCCCAGGGGTGCTGGTCACATGCTGTTTCATTCGCTTTGTCATTTGAATCTGGCAAAGGTGGGTGGTGGGGTGGTTTCCAAGCTACTCTTGAATTCCAAAATAAGCCACCATGGTTTTTTCCCCATCTTCCTGCAACATGCACTCCTGGCCATGTCTGTCTTACAATTCTTTCCAATACCCAGGGCCAGGCAGCTGTATTAGCACTGCTACTCTTCATTCTTTCTTTTTTTCCTTTCTTGTAGGGGACAATATCTTTTTAAAAACAAGCCGCCTGATGGAATAGCGCCTCCCAATTCCTTCTACAGAGCACTTTATCCCAAAATCATACAAGATATAGAGGTAAGAGCCAAGAAAAATCATATTGGATATTGCCCATCTGGGGCAAATCCTTTGGTTGAGGTCTTTAGGCTGCTTTGGTGCTCCCTACACAGATGCCAGACAGTTATGGCTTCCTAGAACCTATGCAAAAAGTAACAGAAAAATGTGGGTCCTTGTATGTAACAGTGTAAACACATTTTTCCTTGAAGTTGTATCCTTGTGTCAAGTCATTTCTTAATCTGTCCTTTAAATACCTAAGTATCTTAGGTCACAAATGCCTGATCCATTTATTATTTGTTAGCCCTCCATTGAAGGGGAGAGCATGTTCAAATATTTTGATGATAGGGATTGAGACTGACTGTCTTGATGGCTCATAGAAATTTGAGTGAAAATAAAAACACATGATCAGGTACTACTTTATACTCATGATTTAAATGCCATTTTGTTGTAAAAACTAATCATTCTATTTCTTGAAGTACAGTGAATTAAATATTAAATATTATATTTCATTTATATCCCACTTTTTTCCTATTGCATGGAACCTAAGGCAGTTTAAATAGACCTCCCCCACTTCACTTTATCCTAATGAGGACCCTGTGAGGTAGCTTAGACTCTGAGTGAGTGGCCCAAAGTGAGCTTCATGGCCAAGTGGGGACTAGAACCTGGATCTCCTGTCCAACACTTTCACTTCCACACTGCACTGCAAACTTTTCCATAGAAATCATATCTCATAATGTCCGATTTGTGATCACAGGTTATCAGATTCTCCCACAGTAGGACTTCCCAAGTCAAACAACTGTTTAAACTTATTCTAGTGTAGTTGTGACCCAAAGCAAGGCAGGTTATTAATTTGGTACTGCCCACTGGTGGCTTAATTCTGGGGAAGTTCTTTCAAAGAAGTGGGGAGGACTATGGCCAAATGGACGGACAGATCAATAGGTGTGGGAATGGGGAAGATCTTTCTTTTGGACTGTCAGGACTGTCAGAAAATAGAATCTAGTTTAGAATGAATGAGGGTCAGTTAGCAGTCTGCCTTACTGACCTAGTCAGATTTGATTTGATTTGAATATATATATATATATATTCATGTTTGTTTGTTTGATTGATTTCTAACCTGGCCCACATGGCTCCCTGGGTGGGTTACAACAATAAAACCCATATAATAACAATATAAAAACATGACAATCCACAAACAATAAAAGTACAGCCACCAGAAGACAGACTTTCCTAAAAGAGATATCCCATTCCATGAAAATACCATTAAAAACTGATTTAACAGTTTTTAAACAGTAAAAAAGGACAGACACCAAAAAGAGTATAAAGATGGCGCCAGGTGAACCTCTCTGGGAGCCCATTCCAAATCAGGGTGCCACTCCGAAAAGGTGGTCCTCCTCATTGCCACCCTCCTTTCCTGAGGAGGGGTATTCCTCAGAAGGGCCTCAGGTGCAAATCTAAGGGGCCGGGTAGGTTCATATGGGAAGAGCCACTCTTTAGAAACCCTGACTCCAAGCTGTTTAGGACTTTAAACACCAACTTTCCCACGTTGAATTGGGCCCACCTTCACTTGGTAGCCAATGGAGATGGTAGAGGACTGGCTTTATATGGTCCTTTTAGCAGTCTAGCTGCCATATTCTGGACCCATTGAAGTATCCGGACTGTCTTCAAGGGAAGCCCCACACAAAGCACATTGCAATAATCCAGGTGCGAGGTTACCAGTGCATGGATAACTGTTGCCAGATCCTGTCTGTGCAGATGCAGCCTCAGCTGATAGAAGAAGCTCCTGGCCACAGGATTCACCCAGAGCACACCCAAGCTGCCAACCCTGCTAGTCAAGGCAGAGGGCAAGGCTCAGAATTCATGTATCCTTAGATAAGGCCACCCACTGTTGTTGTAATACCATGTTCTTGACAGCTGGTGCGTTTGCCTTCTTGGTAACAACTAGAAACTTCTTAGAAGGTTTTGATGCTAAAGACTGGAAAAGGAGGAGGAACAGACTATTCTTCTGCCTCCTAGCATGCTCTGCAACTGTCTAATGATAAATGGTTTCAGCATTAGAAGTGCTTCTGTTGTCCCAGGAGTCGCAGGCTTTATTGTTGCAAAATTTCCATGATGTTCCACACTTTAAAATTGTTTTTCTCTCTCCCCCAGACGATAGAATCAAACTGGCGGTGTGGAAGACACAGTTTACAGCGAATCCACTGCCGGAGTGAAACAAGCAAAGGGGTTTATTGTTTACAATATGATGATCAGAAGATAGTGAGTGGCCTCCGAGACAATACCATCAAGGTGAGCAATAACGATGGGCAGTAACAGAAAACAACATTCACTCCCCCAAAGAAGCCATGTGTGCCTTCTTTTGGGAGGTACAATGTAGGACAGAAACTGGAAAGGATGAGGTTAATTCTTTTTTATGCCCTCATTCACCCCCAGATCAAGTTGACTTTGAAATTCATTGGTTTTCCTCCCCTCTCTTCCAAACAAGGAGGATAAATCTATATTATCTGCTTCATTTTCTTGCACTCTGTTCATTGCTAGCCATGTTATTGGTCCTTCAGTAATTAAAGTCTTCCTGTTCCCTAATGAGAAGTGTAAACACGATGTTTATATTAAAAACAGAGATATTAAGGATAGTTTATATTGCTCTAAAGTGCCTGTGGAATACAAACTGCATTGTGTGCCACTTAAAGAAGTTTTGCTCTCCTTAGTAAATAAAATGCTGTGCTGTGGAAAACAAAAGAGCCGGTCTAGCAGTACAATTACATTCTGATGTAATCCCACCGTGTGCCCCCTTTCCTTCCCAGATCTGGGACAAAAATACACTAGAATGCAAGAGGATTCTGACAGGACACACAGGGTCAGTCCTTTGCCTCCAGTATGATGAGCGGGTGATCATCACTGGATCATCAGATTCCACTGTCAGGTATTTTATTGGTTTGTTTATTGAAAATACATACATCCCATCTTTCTAGCAAATATAGGCATCCAAGGTAGCCTACATCATAATTAAGACGACTGGTTATAGTGAAAACAAAATCAAAAACAGAATAGAACCAGCAGCCTTTGAAAGGTGGCTGGGCAGTGGGGTGGGGGGAGAACCTCACCAACTATGTGCCACCATAAGCTTTAGTAGCTTTGATGTAAGTAGGAAAGGTTTTCATTGCTGCCATTAAAATTGTTAGTGCAGGAACTTGATAAATTACACTGGGAAAGGGGCACATTTTGAAATCCACATCCATCACAAAGCTTTTGCCCCCCCTTACCCGCCTTCCTCACTCTGAAGGAGAACACACCCAGAAGTAGTTCACAGAAATACTTGTGGAAGTAGGCAGTGCTCAAGATGCCTGTTCTCAGGCCATTTAAGCCTTTAAAGATCAAAACCAACATTTTTAATTGTGCCTGGAAATACACTAGTCAGTGGAACCAGTCTGATCTCATCTATGAGTCCCAGTTAAGAATCCAGCAGTTGTATTCTTAAATCCATCAAAGCCTCCAAGCGTAGTTTGTAGGCATTTTCATTTATAACATTGTCCAGGCATTATCAAAGCACAGAATTGATGTGCACATTTGCTTCTGAGATGCTTCGCATGGTTGTGGAAATGCTTTTCCCTGTGCAGCCCGTCTTCAGGAGCCCCAGTTACACACCTGCAGATAGTATTATCCCCATACTGAAAATATGTGTGATGGTAGGAGCTGGGAGATAAGTGTATCACAAAAAGCCACCTAGTGAGTTCATGGACAAGATGTTTTTAATTGGAGGACCATGTGATTGATGGTCAATGCCTTTCCACAACTTCAGTACTGAAGGAGAGGATGAATTTGCTGCTCAAGTATTAGTCAAATTCAAGCTTCCAGAGGTGATCAAAGTATAGTTCTCTTTAAGCTCAAACAAGAAAATAGTTTTCTTTAAGCTTTGTTTAAAAAAAAAAAAAGATTTCAGTGTCAGCAACTTAAATCCTAGATTTCAGGGTTAGCAGCACATACACATGTGTAAATAAATATAAATAAACTGTTCTTGGGAAAAGATAACTGTCAGCATGTTCTCTTGAGGGTATAGATTCTGCTTACATAAAACATTCAGTTAGAACCTGTTTTGTTCAGCTGGACTAAAACTATTTAAAATTCCTTAGTGCCAACCAGAACTATATTTTTTAGATACTGGCAGTACTGAAGAATTACTTCATATTGTTGGTGTTATTTCAGTGTTTTGAATCACTCATTCAGCCTGGGACCAAGGATTTTTCTGTTGCCCAGAATAAAAATCAGAAGGATGAAAGAGACAAATATTTGGCTCAGCAGTATTCTAGATTTCCTGCAAAAAGAAATAAATGCAGTTCTTTGTTAAGACAAAATTATCCTTTTTGGAGGCTTCACTGATTTAAGAGTGTGCTAAAATGGAATGATCAAAAGAAAAATACATTAAATATGTGAGGAGCAGCCTTAGTTGGAAAATAGGAATGGAATCTGGAGCACAGAAGCCCCTGCCCTTTTGTAAGATTTGCCCATATTCTCTGCAGCTATTATTTTTTTTTAAATTAAGGTGGGTATTCTTAGGAAATTAAATTTGGTAGCAAAGTTCACATTCTGCATTTCACCCACGAGCAGAGCAGGAACACCAGGAACAGTCCTCCTTCCCCAGTTTTCAGTTCTAAGATCACCACGTATTCAATCCTTTTAATTTAGGGCTGGGTGGGAATATAATGCCTCTTTAGTGATTACCTGTATTTTAGCCTTACTAAATGATTTAAAAGTACTATATTTTAGCCTTACTAAATGATTTAAAAGTGGCAATGATTTAAAAGTACTATTTAAATCATTGCCACCAAATTAGTTATAGGACAAGCTCTTTGGTACATCTTTTAAAGAAATTTTTGGCAGTTTATATACTGACAATGTGTACGTTTCCCCTCTTGTACTGCACCCACGCATGACTCTTTGTGTATCATAAACTCATAATCTCTCCCTCTCTTTCCCCCCTCCCCACCACTTTCTTTTTCATCACAAATTCCAGAGTGTGGGATATAAATACGGGTGAGATGTTAAACACGCTGATTCATCACTGTGAAGCGGTACTGCATCTGCGCTTTAATAACGGCATGATGGTGACGTGCTCCAAAGATCGTTCCATTGCTGTGTGGGACATGACCTCCCCAACAGACATCACTTTACGAAGGGTTCTGGTTGGACACAGGGCAGCTGTAAATGTGGTAGACTTCGATGACAAGTACATTGTGTCGGCGTCAGGTGATAGAACAATAAAGGTGCAAACCTTGAAGTCATGGTGACTTTGGACCATATAATTATTTATTGTGTTTATTATATCTGCCTTTCTCCAAGGAACTCAAGGTAGTACGCATGTTTCATTTCTCCTCCTCCCACTTTATTTCCGCAATACCATGCGAGGTAGAATAGGCTGGAAGTTAGTGGCCCATGGTCACTCTGTGATTTGCATAGCTAAGTCGGGGGTTGGCCTGGAACCCCACAGTCCTAGCCCAACACCATCTTGGACATCAGCTCTCTCATACAAATATCCATGTGCATCACTTCCAGAATAAACCATGTCCTCCTTCGTGTCTGTCTTACAGGTATGGAACACAAGTACCTGTGAGTTCGTGCGTACTTTAAATGGCCATAAGCGAGGCATTGCATGTCTACAGTACAGAGATAGACTAGTCGTCAGTGGTTCATCAGACAATACAATCAGGTAAGAAGTAGAACACTTCTCTTGGGCTGCTTCTCTCCTGGACAAACTGTATGTTACATAGAAATGTGGATAAAGCCATTTTTTTCACAAAATGCCACTTTGAGGCAAAGCTGGGATGTGCGTCACTCTTTGTTCAGTACGTCCAACACCTCTGTTCCAGCAGCTTTAAAGACGTGAGAGACCATTATATTTTATATGCATTTATACATAATATTTACTTTGGTGCTTTATGCTCTCTTCCTCCACACTCCACTTAACTTGTTGAACTGAGATAGTAGTGCTTCAGGCTGCAGATGAAGGCCTGTATACTTCTTTGCAAAAAAACAAAAACTCCTGCAAGTTAAAAACAAAAACCAAGCACGAGACCTGCTCTAGAACCATTGGTCTGGATAGGCAGGAAATCATGCAGAAAAGTATTGTGGATTTTTAGTGTGGGTATATTAAGAAACAGCATCCCTCCCTTGCAGTTTGAAGTGGTACCATCCACTGTACCACTTCAGAATTCTGCCACTTTCTTCTGCTGCATATGTAAACCAGGCCTTCATAAGATGTAAAAATGAGGTGTGCTTTGTGCCTAGAAATTTCAGCACTCCAGAACCATCTGAATGCAAAAGGAAGTATGTGTATCTATTTGGTTAATTCCTACAATGTAGTTAAACATCTGATATATTGCAAAAATATTTTTGGAAAAGCGACTGTAGGGTGTGTGTGTGGGGGGGGGGATAAAGCAGCAAGTGTAGGGAAGCAAGAAGGAAGATGGTGAATGAAATAGGGAAGGTACTTAGGTTCACATGCAAGGATCCATGAAAGGAGATACCTAAGGAAGTCCTGTCCCAAGGCTGACTAGCTCTGGCTCTGGGTAGATGCTGTCTACCAACATACAGGTAGGTGTTTATCTCATTGCTCCACTTCACATGAGCCCAGATTCTGCACCAGTGTTCCCTGAGTACTTAAAATGACCACAACCCTGACATGAGGCTATGGAACTCCCTTCCAAGGAAGGCAGGGTTGGCTCCTGCTCTTGCTTTGTCAGGCAAAAACCATTTATTTAAGAAAGCCTTTAGCCTATAAGTGGATATGTTAGCTTGGATGCACTCGGATGTTTTTAATAATATTTCCCTGTAATTGTTATGTTTTATTGCATTTTAATATATTGTTTTATTGTTTAATGTTAATTGCTTCTATAAGCTGCCTTGAGTGCCGTTTCTATAAGCTGCCTTGAGTGCCATTTTTTGGTGGAAAGCTGGGTGTGTATAAATAAATAAGAATGACAGGAAATGACAGTTAAACATGTAGTTGTGATTGTCTCAGTACTCTGTCGTAGCTTCAGCACTCCAGTGCAACTGCTGTTCTGGTTTTCTTGTTTTTCATGAGAGGTAAAAAACACAAAGATTGACCAATTTCTCAAAATGTAATGCCTGAAACCGCTTGCATAGACAGTAATATAGCTTGCTCCCTTCATGGTCTGGATGTCTACTTAAAGAGTTGGATTTGCAATAAGGGTTGGCCAACCTAGCTTTTATCATGGTGCCTGGTCTTTGGTACCATTTGAAATGAGTGGCTTGGACCATTGGAGTCTTCCTGTTCTCTCCTGTGGCCAGAAATGGGGCAAGGAATAATCTATTCCATACCACAAAGAGCTATGGATTTTGAAATGCTATCCAGATGAGAACAGTGTGATAGGATTTAACAGCTTTTAGAAACAGGGGCCTGACATTGACTGGTCAATGTTAAAGAAGTAAGAAGCAGAGGCTTCCTCTACTCCACTGGTGCACATTTAAACGTGGTACTAATCCTATAAGAGAACTATGACAATAAATCTAGAGTCACAAGCTGTTTGTTGGTCCAGTTTTCTCATCACTATACATAGCGGTGCTGTTCTCAAAGGTTTATTCCATCCAAGTGTTTTACTTTTCTAGAAAGAATATAGTGCCAGCCCAGTCCTGATCCTACTCTGTAGTAAAATGTTTCTTCTGGTTGTTGGGCATACTGCTTTTAGAACCAGCACCTATGGGAATTGTGGTGATGTTATTATTCAAATTATTACTTAAGGATAATTTATAGAGCAGACAAAGTTGCCACTGCAAGCCTACAACAGGGAACATTAGTGGGCTTGCAGAGATTTCAAAAATTGGGACGGAATCCCCTTTAATTGCTTCAACAGATGACCTTTTCTGTTGTGTGTAATTCTCTGGGTCCAAGGTCAAATATACCAAACCACTTCCTATCCAAATAAAAATACAAAACAAAGATACAAATCCTTTCATTAAGGGACTTTAGAAGCTGGTAATTGACTAGCATAGCTTTAGAGAAAACTAGTTACTGAAGGTGATTGCAGTAACATGAGTAATGAAAGCAAATGATTGGAGTGCTGCGACAGACATTTTAAAGGAAAGACTGGGGAATTGGAGCAGGACAGTTGAAGCTATTAACCAATTATCACCTTCACTCACCAGCTGCATTCTATTTAAGCCTTGCAAAGATCAAAGGATTTGTAAACAGTGCCATAGCTTTGTTTGATGACAGAAACATATTGGGGGATTGGCCTCCTGGTATGGTTAAACAAAAGGCTGACACTATTTTTGTAAGAAAATTGGGTTTACTTAATGTCATGAACTGAGGTCCAGTCTCCACTGTAGCAAAGAGCCTGTCTGCCAATTTGAAGAAACAACAAATAGACATGAGAAGCCTTACTGGCATAACATTTGGAAAAGACACATCTCAATAGCAATCCAAGCAGGAAACAGTTAAAACATTGCAGAGCTTGGGAAAAGCAACTACAATCCCACACATACTAATAACCAACAAATATAAATGTCAATATGGTAATAAATTTAAAGAGGAATACAATTACTTTTTTGCTTGTGCTAGAATTTTGTAGCGGTTGGCAGCATATCTCATCAGAATCTTGGTTGGATGCATATTTGGCCTTGTACGCTTTCTGAAATCAGTATTCCAAACTTTGGCATGAAGCGACTATTCCCCCCATCCATTTCTTGTCCTATGAATGTAGATTGTAAACTGCAATCTACATTCTGGGCACAGGCTGTGTGTGTATAGTGTTCTGTAGAGCACAGCAAAACAGTAACACAGATCAACACCAGCCAGAACCAGAAATTTATAAAATTAGAGGGCTAGGTAAAGAAAAGATGCTTTTGTCTGGTGCTGAAAGCTGTATTGTAAAGCAGCTTGAAGGGGCCTCCTCAGGGACATGGGGCCAGTTCCAGAACTGTACTAACCACCACAGAATTGACCTTGTTCTTTACACTGAGCTCCTATAAATATGGGACTCCAGTCTCACTGAATGGCAAGCACAGCAAAAGAAGGATAACTAGATTACATTCCCTCTTTTTGGAAGAGTAACACAGAGATAGGAATAAGGCCAGAGATTTAGATGTTATAAAACTCAGACTGAACTGAAAGAGCCTTGATTTTTGCACTATCTTGGGGTGTGAAAGTGATGAGGTGCTTTTTGCACATTAGCAGGCAGCCTAAAGAGCAGAAGAAGAGCCCTGCTGGATCAGACAAAAGGTATTCCAGCATTCTCTTCACACAGTGGGCCCACCAGCTGCCACAGAATCCCACAAGCAAGACAGAAGTGTCATACCACCTTCCAGCTCAGGTTTCCCAGCAACTGCTGTATGTAAAGTGCCTCAGCCATGAGAGGGGGCATATAGCTATTGGTAGCCTTTCCCCTCCATGAATTTGCCCAATATCTTAAAAGCAGGCTACTGCTACACCCTGCAGAAGTGAATTCCATAGTGCAGCGATGCACTGTGTTAAAGAAGTACTTTTAGCTGTCCTGGATCTTCCTCCGTTCACTTCATGAGATGACTCTTGGTTTCAGTAGTATAGGAGAAAGAGAAAACGTTTTCCTAATCAGTATCTCCATACCATAATTCTGCATGACCCTATCATGTCTCCCTTTGCTTGCCTTTTTTGTAAGCTAAACAATCTCAGCTGTTGTAATCTTTCGTCACAAGGGAATTACACCAAATCCTTGATCATTTGACTTTTAGGAGCCAGAGATAAGCAGAAAACTAACAGTTGTAGCAGTCTTTGAGTCAGTGACTTGAAGCTACTCTGTTCTTTTATACTCCCCCCTTAAAAAAAAACAAAACAGGGTTTATTGCTGTGGAAAAGTGGTAGCAGTCATCTTAATTTCTGCCCATAGTGTATTTGAAGAGGTATGCCATGTCATGGCATAATGCCAGTTACAGTGTGTTGTGAGGAAGAAAAGAGGGGTGTTTGAACTGCTGCATAGTAAGACAGTACAAACAGCCATGTTTCCTCCCACCCCACTACCCACACACACGCACACACTGCAACATCAAAAGGATGCATAGCAATTCTTCTCAGATGAGAATGATTGTAGATTATGGGAGTGGGGGATATCATTGTCAGCACTTTTCCATGGGACTTTTTATGTGAAAAAGTGTATATAAACAAAGGGAAGGTGCTGCCTGTGATTCACAGCTAAAACTGCAAGGCCCCAACCCTGAAAATAAACTGGATGTCTTGAGGACATTTTCACCTACTTGGTTCACAGACTCAGACACTTTTCACTTTCCCAACCACTCTACCAATGTGCTAAAAATATCCAAAACCCTAACACAGAGCCTGCTGTCTTTCAGAGCAGTTTGGTTGTGCAGATACAGAGTAAAGAGTATCTGTTCCTTAAGGAAAGAGACATTTGTATGATTCATAGATCCATGGAAGTCAGATTGTCAAGTTATACAGCCATTGGATCATAAAACGTGTAACAACTGGCTTTCTATCTAGAGGTCATGATGTTTGCAACACCACCTGTTCTCTGGGGCAACCTTGCAACAGTGCTGCACGGTCCAATTACCATCTCCTTAATTCAGGATTCCTATCAAACCTTTCATTTACACTGACCAGCTTGGTCAAACTTGTCATCTTGGCAACAGGTCAACATTATATTGCAATGCGATTTGGCAGATACTAAATCAGGTGCAGAATTGTTATTAGATGGGGATGATTGCCCACTGATGTCAAGACCCACCTCTTGAGCCTGGAGGGTTTCTTTGTGCTTGGAGAAGGATGGCGTTCTCTGCCTTCCAGCATGGGGAAAAGGTACTCAGGAGAAGCAGCCTTCATCTCAGTATTGGCAAAGCGACTTGGCTTGTGTACTTCCCAGTGTGGGCCAGATCACCTCTGCCTGCATCCTGGTTCTTATCTCTGATTTGAGATCAGAGATGACAGCTGGAATGCACTCTGGGAGCTTTTTCCAGTGCACTGGGCGCCATGGAGGTACCCCAGGAGTCCTCATGGGCCAGATTGGAGTGAACAGTGGGCCAGATTAAGTCCACAGTCCAAAGGCTCTGCATGTCTGTTTTAACTACAGATCTGTATATAACACAAGGCTTGTACTTAGTGAGCTACTTGGACCCAAATTGATTTAGGCTTTATAGCTGAACAAGCAACACCAATATTTATTTGGGTGAGCCAACATTGTACTTGTCAGTGTAATATCCTGCTTGCTTCCTGTTCCCACTATAAATCAACAGCAGTATTTTTCAAACGCTGAAGGTTTTGAACAATCTCCAAGGATAGCCCTACATGCAATGCATTATAATGATCAGTCTAAAAGGTTACCAAGGCTTGGTTGACAGTGACAGGTTTCCTCTAATAAACTGATATTTCGGATGCAGTTCTCAGGCTTGCATTTTTCCTGCCCTCATGAAATGGGCACAGATCAAACGAGAGACCTTCTGCATGCAAAACATGCTTTATCTATGGCTCCGTCTTATTTTGACAATGATCTAAGTATTCCTCCAGTATTAAAGCCAGTTAACAATAAGTCTAATTCTTTTGCCTTCTTTAAAGGCATTTTTTATTTCAAGTTCACATAGAATAGTATCACAGTGTTATCTACATTCAGGTATAGTTTATTGTCATTTTTATTAGCAAATGCATAATAGCAATTACTTGTTTTGCCTTCTCCTAGGTTATGGGACATTGAATGTGGGGCATGCCTGCGGGTTCTGGAAGGCCATGAGGAGCTGGTGAGATGCATTCGCTTTGATAGCAAGAGAATAGTCAGTGGAGCCTATGATGGGTGAGAATTTAGTGATGGAATGCAGATGCCTAGTATTTCTCTTTCTCTGTCATTATATACCCCCATCCCATACTTACTTCAGTCCTGAAGCTTTGCAGTTACTGCATATAACCCTTTCCATGATATGGCTCTCCTTTGCTTCCAGACATTTGATTTTCATTTTAAGGCAAGCTTGCCTTTGACCTACTTGTTCTGTGTCTTTCTGCTTACCCTCAGTTTTTGTGCCTATCAAACACTCACTTCCAAAATTGCTGATGAAATCCTAGTTCAACTTAATCTAGTGATGCAGTGCAGAACCAGCTGAAATCATGATGATAATCATTCTGAAATTATAGGTCCTTAACACCTGCTCTAAAATGATGGCACAATTTCATCTTATTCTGGGGATCAGTTTTGCATGGAAATATATTGCTATGGAGCAGTTCCAGTACACAAGCACCTCCTCTCTTGGCCTTCTCCCCAGAACTCAGAGATAGAGACTGGGTTCACATGACACAGCTGCAAATATGGGTGCACATGCACGCATCCTTTAGAAGAGACATTAAAAATAGCAATGCTTTACAAAGTTGTATTTTGGCATGTATACTTTGTGTGTGCAGACAAGTGTCCATGCAAAATTGCAGCTTTGTTGCCCACACTGAGAGCTTTTTTCAGGGTTGTTTTTTTTAAAGATGGGGGATTGGAAAAGCCCCCTTTGCAGCAGAGACCTTGGGTTCATTAGGGGGTGTTTGTGTGGTCTTCTGTGGCTCCCACTTTTCCAAGTGTGGATAACACAGGCAGACTTAAAAGAATAAGCCATGGCCAGTACCTTGCTACAGCTCAGGGGACATCTCATTACTCCTACTGTTACAGGATAAGGCAGGAGGACGGAGGAAGGAACATGGGAGCATGATGAACACAAGCCATGCTAGGTCTAACTGTCAGTAAAGGAAATTTTAACCAGAGTACGTCCTTACATTTCCACAGGGGCTGAGCATGTTGTGTGAAACCAGGCTGAGTCTCATTAGATGAGAAGGATTCTCCTTTCTAGAGTACCATTCATGCATCAAGCATGCAGGTGTTTGCTTCTGGATCAGAGAGAGAAGGGAAAGAGGGGAGGAGGAGACAGAGGGCTGCAGCATGAGGCAGTAATAGATTGACAGTGTTTTGGGAATGAAGCTGCCTAACCACAACACACCCAAGAAGCTGTGCAAGATGTCCTTATGTCATTTTTTAAAATTACGTTACTATACCCACCAATAACCAAAGCTTTCAGGGCAGTTCACAACAATTAAAACCATAAAATATAACATGATGAAATACAATAGAAAAGTTTAAAGTTATAGTATAATACTAAAATAAAAACCAAAATAAAATCTAGCAGCAGTACAAAGATTTGAAATGCAGTACCATATTTAAAGCAATCGAAACTGAGAGACTGAAACACCTGAGAAATAAGATCTTCACCTGGCATCAAAAGAGCATGCTAGAGGCACCAGGTGTACCTGAATGGGAAGCTCATTCAACAATTAGAGTTCCCCTGGGGTTGTATTGAATATAACTTCTGAAGCCTCCCATATTGTTAGAGGCTCTGCATGTGACTGAGAACACCGGCTATGCAGGGCACTTGATCATGTGGAGCACAGCCCTGCACTGGATTCAGAGTTGTGCAGGCCCCATGTTACCAATGAGGTCCATTCCTGAGAAAATGCAAATCCATCTTTAAGTTGAATTTGTATGCCAGTCGAATCACATACAGCCAGAGTTCCATATTCCCCTGGGGTTGGGGCACCAGGCAGTTGTGAAAGTGGAAAAAAACGCAAATATCTCAAACCCGCCCACCCCCATCCTTGTCCAAACTCACCAGTAACCCCCTTGGCAGCAAGAAAATGCCAGAGAGATTTCCCTCTTCGGATGGACAGGGCAGGAGGGCCTGCTTTGGAGGTCTCCCCCTCTACCCTTTTGCTGCTTCTCTCTCTACGGTGCTGGCAATTTTTGCAGTAATTTCTAAAAATTAATAGGCTTTATGGCAGTTTGATTGTAAGTACGGGTTGTTTGCAGTTCAGGCATTCATAACTCAGGGACTGCCTGTACACAGTGATGGCAGTGGTAACTGTGGAAGTGGAGATAAGCATGCAGCCCTGCCACCCCCATCACCATGTTCTCCCTGGACAGACTAATGTCAAGTTGATACGTTTTCTCAGTGCACTGGTCCCTATACATGTGTATACTGACCCTTATTATTTCCACTGTTGTACCTTTGGGTTGGGTTAAATCAGAATGCCTGCATTATTACACTCCTACTAACAGACAGCCATCCTTCCCTTTCTCTGCCCTCATTAGTTTGAAGCAAGGAGAAGGACTCAGAAGATAGCTTACTGGGGAATCATTTGTCTCAAGTAGGCTGAGAGATAGTGACTTAATTTATGCCTGAACATTTTCTTGATGGCAGATGACACAAGAGTAATCAGAGTGGAATGAAGACACATGAGGTTGCTAGGGGGCCTTTCGGAATGCCTGCAGAGTAATAGATTAAGGAGGGAAGCTTTCTAGCAGCTCACCTGCCTGCTTAATGCACGAATCCAGTTAACGCTACTGTCTTCTACTCTGGCTTTCTTCACCAACAGGAACTGACTAGCTCTGGTGCATCGAGGATCAGACATCAACATTTTTCAGGTCAAGCAGGGGCTTAATCACTTCCTCAGATTTTTCATTATCTGTCCTCAGCCCATTTGCTGCCAAGATGCCAGTTTTAATTGATAGCATCTCTTTGATTTTGCTTGACGTCTATGTTACCAGTGTACTCTTTACCTTCTTTAAGAGCACCCAGTTCAATGCCAGAGGTTTTGTCTGAGGGTGTTACTCCCTGTGAACTATTGGATTCATCACCTAAGTTTTAGATTCTGAGCTGTGTTTAATGGCTCCTTTAAAATAATCTTGTCTAGTGCTGATGCTTTCCCTTTAACACTGGTTTTTTATTCTCTTTTGTGCCTCAGGAAGATTAAAGTCTGGGATTTGGTGGCTGCTCTCGACCCACGTGCTCCTGCTGGAACCCTCTGTCTGCGCACTCTTGTGGTAAGAGCTTTTAATTGATGGGGAGCAGGAGATGAGTTATTCCAGTATTCGTATGTGATGAAATCTGATCTGTTTTGGCCAATTACACCATGGCATGCCCCTCCTCAGTCACTCCATCAAATCCATTCAAGGTTAGACCTAAAGGTGGGTCCCACTACTACGTAGGGCACAATTTGCTTTTTCTGCAAGGAAGACAAAATGCTGCTTTGCTTGATATTTTTTAAATAGAAGTGCCATACACAAAAAGAGAGCGGTCATAACATTGCACTGCTTGGATGAGTCTAGAATACATCACCAAATGTTTTAAAGGGATACCCAAAGTAGAGAAGCTGCAAAGTGCAAAGACAGTTAAAGGGGCAGCAGGTAATTGGCAAGAACTTCTGTACCAAAAAGAAGCTGTCTATTTTGGCTTGCTGTCTCCAGGATGGAAATGTCCCTGTGTGTCCATTGTTGTAGAGGTGCAGAGCACTTTTCTAAACCAGCCCTCCTGGTACAGGACAGCTCAGCAGCTACTGCCTGATAATCCTTAAGTACATCCTGTACTTCATCCCAGAAAACAGCACCCACTGAAGCAAGTGGCAGGGGAAAGAGGCATCTTGTTTTGCCTTTCTGATCCTAGAAGTCCAAATCTGAGAAACACAGAATACACTAGGCATTAAGGAAGCACTAGGGGAGTCGGCGTCCATTGCCCCGAATGACCTCATTCACACTTCAGCTGAGAATCAGTTGCGAGGCCTGCTGCTCATGGCTAAGCCACCAGTGTAAACAACCCTAAGATGGCACTGCCTCATTAAAGTTGTCTCATAGACATATCCAAGGAAGGGTGAATGAGGTCATTCAGGGGCAAAGGTCTTTACATACCTCTCCTATGGAAGTAGTTTATTGGTTAAATGGAAGGGCTTTCTGTTTGAGAGATGGCTTAGATAAGCAGATGAGTTATGTAAAGAGAAGTTGAGGGTATTCAAGGAAAGGTTGGACAATCACATGTGTAGATTCTAAGATGATAGCAAATATGGGAGTTGGCTTAGTTATTTGTGGTGCTTCTAAGGGATGCAAAGAAATTGAAGGTTTGGGGACTTTTTAGCAGTTGTTAAACATACGGAGTGAAAGAGGATGTATGGGGTGATCTGTGTATTACAAGAACAGTAGACATGCCCTTGGAAGCATGGGAAGGGGGGAAGGGAATGCAGATGTCCCACTTCCTGACCATTACAAGGGCATCTCACATTTCTGAAGCTTCTGAAGATAATCCCAACACATTTTCCAGCATTCTCTTTCAATATGCATGGGATGAACATTTGATGTTTTGGTTTTTAAATAAAAACTTTTAGATTCTTTAACAAACCATTAAAGGTCAAAGCAAGAGGGTGGATGATGTGCTGTGTTGTGACAGCAACCACCCAGATGGTGTCAGGAGGTTTAAGGAAGAACCACTGGAAGAAAAGTGCAGCAGACAAAAATAACCAGGTCATGGGCCACTGGACAGGCCATTTATTAATAATGTCAGAACTACTTTTCAAAAACATATGGATTGAGTGACTTTTCTAAGCTGTGAATACAGAATAAATACAAAATATATTTACTTGCTTAAATCTCCAGCAACTCTAGGGAAAATACAAATGAATAAATTTGGCTTCTCTCTTTCCCTTATCTAGGAGCACTCTGGTAGAGTTTTCCGTCTCCAATTTGATGAATTTCAAATTGTCAGTAGCTCGCATGATGACACCATCCTTATCTGGGACTTCCTGAATGATCCAGCTACCCAAGCAGAATCTAACCGCTCCCCCTCCAGAACATATACTTACATCTCCAGATAAATAGCACTAGACTGTACCTCACACTTGCACAGGTAAAAATAAAGGGACCCTTGGGGGTATCAGGTAGATTCCATAGTGGAGAGGCAAGAACCATAATGGCTAAGTGGCTTACAGTATTTGCAGGAGTGCAGATTCTTTCTGATTCAGTAACTGAGTGCATTCCTTGACAGTTGGCCCCAAATGAGGCTAAAGGGCCACTCAGCACCAATTCTGCCATCCATCTAGTTTTGCATCTGTGAGGCTAACTGACCTTTCCACGTGGGGGAATGATTCACCAAGGCAAGCTTAGGGAGAATGCAGGAATTTGGATCTGTACAACACTTAAATTCATTTTCTGTTCGCTAAAGCAGGAGCCATTCTGGTGTGCCTTCTCTGTATCTGACTTGTAAATGGCATAGGAAATACTTCGTTTTAGGGTTTATTTTAAGTCACAGCTCTCCAGTTGGTTGGCTCGGAGATGACTGAAGAATCATTCCTGGGCTTTAGCTTACTGACAGCCAAAAAGAGAATCCGTATTTAGAACAGATGAGGAATGTCCTGAAGTAAATCAACAAGTCTGCTGCAGAGTCTTAGAGAATGACGACTTACTGGCATATAAAAGGTTGGAATAAGATTGTGCCATTTGCGGTTCTCACAGGTCTCATGCAGCACATCTCTGATCTGTATACAGAGCACACGTAGTTGCTGATCTCTGCACATATATTTACATGTAATGGAAAATGCATGTGTCCTTGTAGGGTTTTCTGCGTTCTGAGTATTGTCTTCTCCTGCAAAGGGCATTCATTCATCTAGAAGAATATGTGGCAGATGCTGTAAGACTGACATTGCTCCTGCTTGATTTACAAACATTAGAAATAAGGAATCTGAGGATCTGGAGTAAATGTGAGGAGGGGGTTCATTCAAGCAGTTATGCATACATGTGCTGCTTCTTACACTGAAAGAAGGCCTAGCATATTCAGTGCGGCTTGCATTGGAGAGTGCTCCTGGAGTTCTGCCTGCACTGTTATAAATATAGTAAAGTCTTTTAATTTGGCAGAGTCTTTTAATGTATATATCCACCAGAAATGCTAATATGAAACTTTGAAAATGTTATGAATAAAAATGAAAATATATAAAATGCTAATGGAAGTTAAAAAATGTGAGCCAACAAGTATTTATATAAGGAGGGGGAAGCAGGAGAAAGTAATATAAAGTAAGTATACAACTCAAGTATCTAAACAAAAGCAAACAGAAATAGAGGCGAATGGAATCCAATAAATCAGTTATCCACTAGTGAGCAGTTCCCTCTTCTTCTGTCTTTTCCAGATTGCAGGGGAGGGTCTTTTGTTTTGTTGTTTTCATTATTTATTCTTTCTGAGGTTGCTCTAGTCTCTTTCCTATCTTGAATCTTTATCTCAGAAACACCACATTCTTATAACTCAGAATGTCCTATGGAGATCAGGATTGTACTCCAGGCGTAGATTGTATAGCGTTGCACACAGATATCACTTGTTCGTCAGTTCACAAAGCCATATGTGCATTTCCTCACCATGCGTGCAGTTGCATGTATGATGTGTGCCTAGATGAAATAGAATTTCTAGTGCATGTATAAAGTTCACTTGCAGACAGATTCTTACAGTTATCTGAACATGTGTGCAATATGAATTTATGTTCATTATAATGTGTGAACAGACCTTTTTAACTGGAACAAGGAAAGGCAATTTGCACTTGAAGAGAATAACCCAGGAAATTGAGCTTGTGAAGGTGCAGTCCTTCAGTTGAGACAGTACTGGCAGATTTGTGACATTTTACTTTAATGTTAGAGCTCCTTCCACTTTCATCCAGTCTGGCAAGTGTGGAGGGATTTTCTAGTGAGTACACTAAAAATAGCAGGTATTAGCCAAAATGGGAGTGGAGGATAGTGTTTCAAAGTTGTTCAGAGGATGGGAAATCCTGCAAAGAATGTGGAGATGGACAACTGCTTCCACTCTAGCCGAAGGGCATATTAAAATTTGCCTAGATAAATCCACTTTGAGTGTCTAGAACTCATAGTTGCCTCTTGCTAGTTTACTAAGTTCTGTTTGCAAAGATAGAGCTGACTGATTATTTTTTTCTTTTTCTTGTCATTTTCTCCAGGACTCATTTAAGCTGCGATATTTAAATTATCTGCCAATGCCGGGGCAAAAGAATTATCCACATTAACAGTTATTACTGAAGAGAGATTCACAGACACACTTCTGGAACCAAGTTGGCATGTGGTTGATCTCAGACAAGGTCTTCTCAGCACAGCTGACTGCTCAAGTGCTGCTATATCAAAAGATTGCTTTTATCGTTCATGAATAACTGATGTATACACCTCCCTTCTTCCCACACTCATTTCCTCTCTTGGCTGATTGCAGACATCCTTAAAATATGTTTAACATGTTACCAGAATGTCATGTTTTACTCTTAAGTCGAAAGAGTAACCATCTGGGAGAATCACCTTTTGATGTGTTGGTAGGAGGGGAACAGTAGGCTGATGCCTCTACCTTTCAGGACTTCCCTCTAGTGTTGGAAGGACCTTGGACTTTAGAGAAGAGCCAAATTAATGCCAAATGAAGGCCCTGGGGGCCAGAAGCCTGTTAAGTGGTCTTGATGGAAATCTAAGCAATTTCAGCTAAGCCCTTTGCAGTTACTCAACTGTATGAAATGTTGGACTGGCAGATGCCAGTAAGTGGAAATTTAAGCTTTTTTCTGCCAAAGTCTAATGTTGTTTAAGAGTATGTGGGAGGGTGTATTGGTGCTGATGTCGAGTTTATTGGTTCATGGGCCACATTTCATCATCAAAAGGATGTACCAAGAACAGATCTCAGTGTTCTCCTGGTTTCCTTCATTTTTGGCGCATTCCTTATTCCAAGCAAGAGCTTGACTTCAGAATTAGTAGAGCATCCCAGTTGGACTCCATCAGCAGAGATTGATTTAGTCATTCCAGTTTTCCAGCTAACCTGATTGTATCATTGTTCAGGAGCTGACATTGGTGCATTGGAAGGGAACTACTAAAGTAATGGGAAGCTATGTTAACTCTACTGTTCAGCCTACAACTGTAGGACCAATTTGTTGGGGATGGGAGAATGGCAGAAAAGAAAAGCAGTGGGTTTTATCTAGGAGTACAGAAGTAAACCTTTCATGGTACTAATTAGCTGACAACACATTAGGAAACTATACATAATTGCCATCGCTAATGGGAATATCAGAAACCTCTGTCTCCTAGCATGGAAAGCTTAAGAGGAGGCTGGCAAAGGTTTGTTTTAAGTTAGCATGTAGGAAACAAATGTTTCATTTTCTGCTGCTAGGTAAGCAAGTTCCCTTCATGGCCTGTTTCCTCATTTTCTTGGGAGTATCAGTTGCCCAAGGAATCATCCATGATAACGTTTAGCATTTGCCACAGCAGGTCTTGTTGGCCAGAAGTTGATGGGAGCTGGGAAATTTGGGCAGCTGGTCCTGTCCACATGGCTCTCAACAGTGGTTCAGAGAGATGTCTCTGCCACATGGGTTTCAGCCTACATATAATCCAGGCCTTTATTAGCACCAAAGGCATGGTCAGAGACAACTGTTCTCTGGTGCCATGGAGAAGTCATGCCGATCTGATCTTTTTGTGTATGCTTCTTGAACAAAGACCCTTCATAAATCAGAAAGTTTTGCCTTGCCTAGTTTGTCCAGCAAGAGAAAAAGAGGCAGTTTATCACATACTACTTCTTAATCATGTTGCCCTTAACATTGTTTAGCCACTGTGCCCTTGGGTCTCGTGCCTACTATTCTCTTAGGTCCCAAAGTTTGTGGCATTGCTTGTATATAAGACTGTTGATCTGCAAAAGCTGGAGCATCAACAGGTTTCTCTTCTTTCCCTTGTTTTCAGGTAAAGCTGTAAGATCCATGTTTTCTCTCCTGAATGGGGGGGGGGGTGTTTGTTTGGCAGTGGCTCTGTCAAACACATGGGATTTTGTCAAACTCTTGCTGAGTTCTGAAAAGTTGGAGATCAGATGAAAATGATGGATAGAACCCTTCCTTGACAGTCATGGTCCTCCTCTTTCTTGCTGCTGCTCCCAAAGTACTGGTTTGTTTGTTTTCTAAACAAACATTTTACTGGACAATTAATCACAATGTGTAAATCATAACCTTAAGGGGAAAATAGTGAGATATTCCTGTACACCATTTCAAAAGAAGTTAAAATGGCATCTTTCTGCTGAATAAAGATCTACCATGTGATGGCATGGAAAAAGGATACTGGAAAAGGGTGACCTCCTCCATCAACTTCTAGCCCACTCAAGTTGTATGATCGCAAAGGGAATGGTGTTTTTACTGCCTTTGGTCTACTGTATCTCCAGCCATTAACTGTTTGGCAGTGTTGGTGTTCCATAGAAGAGGAAGCTTTGAAATCTTCTACATTGTCATCTCTGTATGTTACCTGTATAATGGATTGACTGGATAGGTAATTCTCAAATGGATCTGAAGTAAAAGCTGGAAGGAGAATTTTAATCATACTAATACTTCTGAAAAGAGGGTTGAGTTCTACAGCAACTTGCTGTAGAATGAAATGCTAACTTTGAATTGATGGTCTCAAAAAACCTTTCACTCCTTGAAGGGGAGAGCTCTGCAGGCAGGTACTCAGGAGGAAAAGCAGCACACAACTGGCTCTTAGCCATAGGAGAAATCCTTTCTATAAAAATGTACATATCTAGTCCTAGGACAGTTGATTCCTTCAAAATATCTGAGTTCAATATAGGCAGACAAGTATGTAGCATAGGACCTCGCCCTCTCCCCCCATAATGTTGAGTCACTGTCACTGTTCCTGACTAAACACTGGGACAAGCTAAACGTTTTGATGATTATTTAAGGTGTTGTGCTTGTTTTTGAAATAAGGTGAGAGACATCTTGCGGCTACAGGAAAAAAAGAAATAGCCTACTACTTTGAATTCATGGAAGGAGAAGAAAGAGTTACTTATGTGTGTTTCCCTTCTCTAAGTTCATATGTATAAATCTGCCTATTTGAGCCCATGTGAGTAACACTTTTCCAAATGAGGTCAACTGGTCCTGTGGGCTTCCTTCCTTCCTTCCAGGTCCAGTTCAAAGATGCCTAGGAGTTATCAGTGTTACCAAGAGAAATGGTTGTTCATGTGTTTTCTGTTTTGCTGTGTGCAAGTAAAAAGATACGCTCTGCAGGAGGGTAGAAGAAAAATGCAATGGTTTCCAAAGGCTTATCTGGGTTGCATGCTTCCATTTACTCTGTCCTCCTGGAATTGGGCAGGGAGAACAGGAAAAACCTCAAGAGATGCAGGACTTTTCTGGGGTCCCTAAGTGACCTATAGGATGCATATTAACAATGCTCAGCAGTGCTGTGATTCATTCCCCTCCCCTTTAGTTAGTTCTCCTGAAACAGTAAATCTTCCAAATGATGGTCATTCCACCTCATATCGTACTTCTGGGTGAGTCTGTCCAACCGGGGATGAGTCCACAATGACCATGGAAGCACAATTTGCACTGTAGGCTACCTTGACACAAGCAGTCTTCACTTGGGTCTAAATGCTGCATGCTGGGAACTGCATGTTCCAGAAGCAAAATCCGTGTATTATAAGATGTGTTTGCTTTCTACTGATCTGTAACACAGCACCTGGAATAAAGCATGGGTGCAGCCCATCTTTTAGAAGGCTCCCCAGTGAAGTTGTGGTCCATCCGCTTTTCAGTCAAGAGAGTCCCTCTTTGCGGCTTCGCAGCATCTTTCTTCATGAATATAGTGACATGTTGCAGCAATTTAGTACATCTGCAGAATGCCATTGGGCTGTAGCTCAGTTGTACTCGGAGCCTCTTAAGGTGACAGGGAACATACCTAGATTTGTTACGAATTGTTAGTACTGTTTTAGTGACGCAAAGTATGCTCAGGAAGGGGTCCTTTAACAACGCCACACTAGCCCTAGCATTGGATCATAACCGTACATCCAACCCTCTTTGGAAACCATTACCTGACTCATGCCTCTAAAATGCCTGCAGACTCTCTGAGCTGAAGTCGTCTTTCCAAACGCAGAAATATTTGCCCTGGAGTACTGCACAGCTTTTCTGCAGAAAAATAAGTTGTCTGTTAATGCAGGTCTACCTATGTGCATAGAAAATTCAAAATTTAGTGTTCACAATAAATGATGGAAATCAGTAAATGTACCCAGTTTTGCTTAATTTGTATTAATTTGCATGCTTTGTTCTTGCACAATATTCAAACACTAGGCAAGGAGCGGTGGACCGGCGAGAGGCAAGGGATGGACATGAGTGCCTATATGAGCAAGAGCAAACTTGCAGGCATTGAATATGGGCTGCAGAAACTGAAGCTTTATTCTTTGACCAGAATATTTCACAGCGATTCCTGCATGTTTTCAAATGTATTTTCCTTATAATGTGAGTTTGAATCTTCTTGTGTTTTTTTTAAAGGGAAGCTGAGATTTCAGGAATCTAATGTGTGTACATCAATATCGTGCATGCAGAATTGGAGAGAACATGCCCTGCATGCTCTGGCAGATGCTTTATCAGAAAGGCGCAGGAACTTTTTAATAAAATACTTCTAAATGCCCCCATTTTTATTTTCTACATGCCACTTCATAATCCTACTTAGCTGCCTTTATTGGTTCATGAAGAGCTTTGATTTCTTTAGCTCTGTGAAACAAAATAAATGGTCACAATTTTTTACTTAATGAAATTAGGATTTTTGAGTAGGAAAAAAGAAAGTAGTTGTGGGTCCATACACTTGGGAAGGTTGCAAAAAAATATAATGGCAGACTTTATTATGTCTTTTCAAAAAAAAACAAAACAACAGCAATTTCCCCTTTCTGTTTTTGTATAGACAATGGAAAGGCATGCAACTTCAAAATCTTTCAAAGTAGAATTGGGTGTAAGGACAATTTATCCAATAGCTCGTTGTTCCTTTAAAAGTAAACACCCAGACCACTACACGCCTATTGCCGGAAGCTCAGAGAATTGTGGCCACACGTTAGAAAGCATATGATCTTACTTGTACCTCTACTCTCTCTGTTCTCTAGATTCTAATAAGTGGTTTGGAATTTTTGCCATTATGTTCTGGTGATGTGTAGCTACCGTACTAATGTTCATTTGAGCTAGGGTCGCAGTAACAAGTGTGTTTTTTAAAGACTATTTTAACTGTTCAGAAGATAAATATAAATATAAGATTAAGCTGTGAACATACAAAGTGTTTTTATTTCTTGGATTGTAATGGAAGGCTTGTTTCCCAGGCACTGTGGCAAAGAGTACTGCACTATTGTCTAGTTAAGTGTGTTGGCTGTCATTCATTTAAACTGGGACAGATTATTCATAAATTGGAATACTTTGTAAAGAGTTCCATTCATTACTGATGGGTTGCTGCTAGAGCACTGTAAATTATTGGAATGCATGACAGCAAATGCAGTGCTTTTCCAGAAAGGGAAAATGCTCTTTACCAAATGGATTGTACAAGATATTTCAGCGAAAAAAAATCATAATTTTGCTTAGGAATGCAAGTATTGAAATTAGCATAGATTCAAAGACAAGATCCGGCATGATTCAGATGGTCTCTTTTCAACAGAAGTAAGCAGAAATACACCATTCATCAGATGCATCATTTGGTTTCTGCTTGCTCTCCCTTCTTTCAGTTTTACATAGAACTATTTTGTAATATACTATGACCTGGATGCCACTGTGCCATACATTTTAGCATACCTAAATATACCTTTTCTTCAGGATTTTTCTAAGGTAATTGAATAATGAGAATTTATTAGAGAATTTATTTTTGGAAACACATGCATGAGCAGCAGTTCTTTAAGTATGTAAGACCTGTTTTCCTTATCACAGCATCCATGTCCAACCCTGGACAAATCTGTGTAAATTGTATAGGGCTTTATTGGTTATTTCACACAGAAAGAAAATATAATGTATGAGAAATGGGTGCATTTCAGAACAAATCAACTGAAGATAACAAACTGCAGTAGTTACTAGAGAGCAGGGGCAGACACTGGGATATTTTACAGAATGCAAAGGTTCCTTTCGGTGGTCCATAAAGAGAGTAAGTTTGTCCCTCCCTCCCTTACTCCCTCACACACACACACCGAGTGGGAAGAGAAGAAACCCTGAAGAAAAGAGCATAGGCCTGTCTGATCTCTTGTTCCTCCCATACCCAGGTCAGCTGGAGCCACCACATAGAGGGACGGGCAAGTCTTGCATCAGTCTTTGCCAATTTAGTGTTCTCACCTATTTTGTGCATTTTGGCAACACAACTGGAGGGGAACCAGGTTGGGAAAGTGTGTTTTTACGCTACAGGGTATTTGGCCAAATCTCTGTCTTCACAGAGCATTACCCTGTTGCTTGCTTTCTTTGCTCTTTTCACCTCTAAATATGCTGCTAGGTACCTTCCCCTTGGCTTCCTGTTCAGGGTGAGCTTCCTTTCTGGAGATATTTACAACTTGCGACTTGCTGCTTGTTCCTTGAGAAAGGGAATCTGGCAGCAACTGGATTGCATTGAACAGTATTCTGGATAGTTGCCTGCAGGGTTGGTCCACCACTCACATGGCCAACAGTGCAGAGATGTCATATGTGTTCACACTTACCACAATAAAAATTGCATCTTGATCTTACACATGTTCCTGGCTATGGGATACCCTTTCATTTCCCTTGTGCAGTGTTGATGTGCTATATATCTAAAGCCATTTTTGTACTGAGTTGTCTTGCTCTTGACAGCCTTCCAAATCTGTTCAGAAAAATCCATGGACATACAGCTTGGGTGCCTTTACAGCATGATGCACACCCAGTACTGAGAAGCCCCTCAAGGCCAGAGCAGTGCTTGTGCACAGCAGGTTTATGGACTTTGTGGGTTTTCATAAGTTTAGGCTGCTTTAGTGATGTGGCAGATGGCCTGCAAGGGAGAGGTGGGCGTTGTAATACAAAGCATGGGGCCCTGTGTAGTGATGCAGTCTGAAGAAATGCAGGGGCTGCTGATCATAGAATGCAAAACCTTGAACATGCACTTTGGCATAATATAATTTCATGACATTATTTTAGATTAGAAAACAAGTGCCTCTTGTGAAATTAGCCTGCGATGCGAGAAGCGTGCAGCCTGGGAATTGAGATGCATTGTGCGTAATGATGCTGAGGCTAGTCAGTTGCTAGTGTGGGACTGAAAAGAAGCGAGATAGTATGTTCATAGCCACATGTTGGTATACCAAGTACTTACAATGGCTGCAAGTTCTGTAAGTTGGTATTGAGAGGCAGCAAGCCACATTCCAGCCTGGCAGAATTCCCAGAATCTTGCACAATCCCCTCCACCAACTTGAGAGAAGACAAAACTTCTTTTATGACTGGAGAGAATAAACATAGGCTTCATGGAGGGTGGCCGCACAGTGTGGAGAAAACAGAATTTCTGCTGGGAGGTTTCAGTCTTGTGCCTGATCTGCTGCCCCGTGAAGACGAACAGCTGTTGATTCCTTGCAGAAGGAAGCTTCTGACTTGAACTACCAAGAGAATCACCAGGGCCTTTTCTTGACCTATCCTGCAGCCATTTTCTGCTTCTAGCCAGCCCAATACTTTTTCACTTCTGCACATCTCCAACCTTTTCCTCAGCCTTTCGATCTTTTCAGCCCAGCCCAGCCTAGCCCAGCCCAGCCCTGAGAGTTTAAGTGCTATGTCTCAGGAGCAGAAATCACCTTGTTTGGCCCTCTTGGTTCCCAAACATTACTCAGTAATTTTCAAGCACATCTTCATTAAAGGAGCCAAAGAATAAATGACTAATTTCACAAAATCCATGTGGTTTTCTTCTGAAATTGGAGGTGAAGGCTGCTGCCTACACATTGGTCAACACATTGACCTCCCCTGGCTGAAATATCTTTAAAGACTGACAAGGTAGGAACTCCCTTGTAGAATATTTGCATAGCTACAAAATCAACACTTCTAAATGAAAGTGGCTTAGGTGCATAAGTGATGCTGCAAGCTGATCAGGGTCTTCTACACAAGCGTCACCTACACAAATCTTTTGTGTTAAAAAGGGGTTTCCGTGTTTCTTCTTCATAATGTGGCTCACCTGTACTAGATCTCTTCAGAACTTTGCCACATGTATGGAAATGGCAGGGGACCAACAGTTCCCTGCCACTTTCCCACTTCTCACCTTTAATGTATATGGGGTAGGAAACCCACAAGCTGTAAATGGGTGCAACAGCACACACGTTCCTGAGAAAATGCCTCTGATACTAGAAGTAGCCTTCAGGACTAGCCACCAATCATAGTCTTATCCTCTATGAATTTATCCAATCCCCTTTTAAAATTGTGCAAGTTGGTGGCCATCTTTTTCTCTTGTAAAAGTGGATTCTAACCCTGTTTGCTAGTTTGCAGAAATCAAACCAGCCAGACTGTATCCAGAAAAACATCAACCCTGTTGGTCTGAATACTGCCCTGTATTTTAAAGACTAAGCGCAAGCACTGTAGGAGGAGCATCCCTCAGCACTTTGGAAGACTGCGAGAATGGATGAATGGGGGATTTAAGAGCAGAGAGGTTATTCAAACAAATGTATTGAGGGGAAGAGCAGAACATTTTAAAATGCAGCATTAACTGGAGGATCATGTCAACAGCTGAACTATGCCCACCCAGAATCCTCTAGGCTATTTTTAATGCTAATGGCTTTTGCTCGTGTTGAGGGACCACTGAGCAGAGTTACTGCAATAGAGAATCGTTCCAGAACCAGAAAAATCCACATAAAGATATTTCTGAGCTACTTCCTTCTTCACAATCCTCTGGTGAATTTTGTGCAGCCAGAACTCCACATCCATCCCAAACCTGGGTTTCTCTCCATTTTGGCAGCTAGGGCTATTTTGACTGCATGCATGTGTAGAAACACAGAACAAAGGGGAGGAAGTGCACCCAAAAGACATCTGTTCAGCCACCATCTATGTATGTGGATACTGGAAAAGGGAGAGCATGACAAGGGTACGGACATAAATTATACATGTAGGGCCTCCTGCAGCTTTTAATCAAGCCCTGTTGGTTTGAATGCAAGTTTGGGGCTCCAGTTCTGTAGAAACACATTTGTTCCACATTGGTCCTTATTTTCAAAGGCTTCTATGCTGCCAATGGCCTCCTCCCTCAAGGACATCAAGCATGCAGAGGGTTAATAGTGGCCTGGGCAATGCCGGGAGGTCCTTGCAGCTCCGGATTCTGACCAATATATCTAGTTTTCAAATAGGCAAAGCGAATCACATTAACTATCATGTGATTCCATGCTGCCTCAAAGGGCTTAACGAAGGAGAGCTTTTCTACCGCCTCTTGGATTTCTCTTCCACTCTGCCTGCCACCCACTTTTCTTTCTTGGTTTTACCTCATTGCTAGGGGCGCGTTCTGCCTGTCAGTCACCTGGCAAAGTCTTGGACAGGGAGGGGCCCCTGTCTCTCCTAGGCTTGGGTCTCTTTGGCAGACTCTCTTTCCTTTCCCCCTCTGCTGGACAGTCCTGTTCATCATGTTTCACTGAGAGGAGCACAATCTTCTACTTCACTTTGCTGAGTCTGCAGCATATTTTCCAGAAGGAAGGCAAAGAGGTACCTTGCCCAAATGGACAGCAATCCCTTTTGCTTCCACAGGAGCATCACGGGGGTAAGTGATTGTTACAGCTTTTCGTATGCCGCTGAGGCATCTCCCTTGAGCCTGACCTGCTGTTTCAGGCATTCCTCACGGGATTTTTGGGAGTTTTAATTGCACCCACCGTGAGGAGGCTGGCCAACGTTCCATTTCCTGCTACTGTGCTCTCAACTAGGTGGAATGACAGCTTCCTGCTCTCCTGGGGAGGGTCTTTGCTTGCTGGCTGAAGCAATCTGAGGCAAAAGGGAGGGCACTGCATCCAGAGGAACTTTTCTCAGAGTTTTTCAACTGCAGATGCCACTGGACTGACAGAAAGTTGTCCATCGCTAGCTACACCATTTCAAGCAGCCTTTTCTTTCTGCTCTTTTGACATCAGCTCCCATCAGCCCCAGCCAGCATGACCAATGATGAAAATCCTTGGGAGTTGTCATTCAAAACATCTGGAGGAGACCAAGCTGGAACAGGATGCTTCAGAAAACTACCCTGTGGCCATGGTGCTTTTCGAAGCACAGCTCACTTTGTTTGCTTCAGCTTCCCTGTTCGTGGCTTAAGGATGGCTTCTGTGCGAGGATGACTCACAAATTCATGAAACATTTGGAGAGCTGGCCTGGTGGCTCGAGTGTTGGACTGGGAACCAGGAAGACCCAGGTTCTAGTCCCCTCTTGGCCATGAAGCTCACAGGCTGACTTGGGCCAGTCACTCACTCCCAGCCTCACAGGACGGTTGTCATGACAATAAAATGGAGCTATGGAAACTGCTCTGGGTTCCTCACAAGAGGAAAAAAGGTGGCCTATAAATGCAATGTATTAGTAGTACCCACAGCCACTCATTTCTGTTTGCCAGAATGGTTTGCCATCCAGATTTCCTGTCTGCCATCTGGTTGTGTAGTGTTGCTTCATTGTCTGTAGGTTTTTTGGGTAGTGGCTCTCTTTCTGGGTACAGTTATTATGAAGCATAAGGAATTGCATTAAGGTAATGTGCAGAACCCACAGCCTGTAGGCCACGAGCCTCTCCTGGATGCGTGTTGTGCAGCCCGTGTGCTCTGTCCTCCCCCATTTCCCACTCCCTGCTACTGACACCAACTTGCATCACTGCTTCTGTACTGCAAATCCCAGCACAACTGCAGTTTTGCCCCTCAGAGAACACAGGAAATGGCCCAATACTGTCTGAGATCACTCGCCTGTCTGGCTCAGTATTGTCAACATTGACTGGCAGCAGCTTTCCAGAGCTTTGGCTAAGAGTTTCATCTGCCTCACCGGCAGACTGTGAGAATCTGCAGACTCTCCTGCATGCAAGGCTCTGCTCCTTAAACGCAGGCCTTCCTTAGAGCCGTCATGTTTTCCTCTTCCACAACCCCTCAGTAGCTGGCATTTGCAGCTTTGGTGCTGTTAGAGGCAGCACACCGGCACCAGTGCTGGTTGGGGTTTCTGGGAGGAGGAAACCTTAGGGCCTAAGCTAATGTGTGATGGCCAGATTCTAGTGTGAAGCTGTAGGTAGTGGGGAATTCACCCCTTTACCGGGGGGGGGGGGGGGGGCTGTTATAATCCCTTGGTTGTTTCTGCTCTTGGGGAAATGTTAAGCCTTGTTTCCAAAGCAGGCTTTAACTCCCACTCTTTGGGATCTCCTTCAACTCTGTTAAAGAGCCTCTCTGTGTCCCTATGTTTTTTCCATATAAAAATTAGGCTTCATTTGTATTGCCTTAGCCAAACTACCTCCTGTTATGCTGTAAAACTCATATCCAGCTGCTTCTATGATTGCTTTCGGTTAAGCTTCCCACATACCCATGTTAGCTATTTTGGCTTCCATTAACATGCGTTTTGTATTGCACAAATTAACATCATCCTTCTAAGAAAATCTCTCCATACACAATCTGAAAAATGCTAATTGAGTCCCACTGGGTAGCTGGCTCTCTCTCCTTTGCACTCATGCAAGTTTTTTCCTCATCTGAAATGTATTTAAGAATTTCCCCATCTCAGAAAAACTAAAATGACATTAAAATTCTTTAATGCCCTACAATTTTGGCATTATCTATTCCAAAGATCTGGCCTGGGCCCATGTAAAACTCTCCTTATATACTGTTTACATTCTGTAAATATCACATTTCCAATTACTTTCCTAATTCTTAAATCTTGGGTCCTGTTGACCCCATATTTATTTATTATTTATAAAATTTGTATGCTGTCCAATTACTAAGGTCTCTGGATGGCTAGCAGCATAAATAAATTGATGACCCACTCTGGCTGCAAAGTAATAAAATACAATAATAAAATTCAATATTAAAACATATTAAAATATTGATTAAATAAAAAGGTCTTAACCTGGCACCAAAAAACATATAATGACAGTGCCAGGCGGACCTCTCTGGGGAGAGCATTCCATAGTCGGGGCGCCACCGCAGAGAAGGCCCTCCTCTGGCTACTCCCTCCTCCTTTCCTAACGTCTTTCACAGAGGATTCCCGGAGGAGGGCTTCTGTTGCCGATCTCAGGGGGCGGGAGGGCAAATAGGGAAAAGGGCATTCCTTTAGGTATCCTGGTCCCAAACCATTTAGGGCTTTGTAGGTAATAACCAGCACCTTGAGTTGAGCCCGGACTTTGATGGGAAGCCAATGGAGCTGAAAGAGGACTGGGGTTATATGAGAATAACGCCCAGTCCCCGATAGCATCCTGGCAGCTCTATTTTGAACCACCTGAAGTATCCAGACTGTCTTCAAGGGCAGCTTCACATAAAGCGCATTACAGAAATCCAACCGGGAAGTAACCAATGCATGTGTTACTGTTGCTAGGCAGTCTTCCTCCTGGTAGGGATGCAGCTGATAGATTAGCCAAAGCTGAAGGAAAGCGCTCCTCGCCACCACTGTCACTTGGGCTTCCAAGGACAGCTCCAGGTCAAGGAGCACTCCCAAGCTGCAGACCCTGTCCTTTAGAGGGAGTGCATCCCCATCCAGGGCAAGGCCCGAGTCACCTACCCAGGAGCTCAAATCACCCACCAACAGAACCTCTGTCTTACCTGGATTGAGCTTCAGTTTATTGGCCCTCATCCAGCCCACTACATCCATTTGTAGTCAGTGATGGATTGAATGCGATGGACAAATTTGTATTCATTCCACTTCAAAGTGTAAGTGCTTGTTGGTGGAGTGCCGATTGTTCTGGGTTCAGTGCACAGGGTATTTTGGAAAGAGTTTCACTCCACATTAACATGACTTGGGGCAATCTTGCATGTGTCCATGACCAGGGGTGCTTTTTACCAGCTTAGATTATTACATCAACAGAGTCCTTTCCTTGAGAAAATGGACATGGTCTCAGTTGGTCATGCCCCACCAACATTCAGATTAGATTGCTGTAAAGCATTCTGCATGCAGATGCCTTTGAAGGCATTCACTCCAGGTGATTCAAAATACAGTTGCTGGGAAATTGTCTGGGCTCAGTGGATAAACCACACAACTCTGCTGGTTTCATTTCCATTGTCTGCCAGTCTATTTCAATTCAAGGTGTTTTTGGTTTTGGGGTTTGTTTGTTTTTTTGAGGTTTTAAAGCCTCATACTAAGTCACTCCTTCATGTCTCTTTGCCATCTCAAGTTTGATGGTAGGTATACAACCTAGTGTCCTTAAGATACTTTGGATTATAACTCCTATAAGCCAGAGCCAGCAGAACCAATGTAGTAGATTCTAGAATGTAGGGTCTAAAACATCTGGAGGACCCCAGTTTGCCTTCCCCAAATGCTCTGTTAGATTAACTGTAATGGCTTAAACAAAACTGCATAGAAAGTCTTTAACTAGGCAAGTGTGCATTGTTCTTTCTCCATACTAGGTAAATAGAGACTGCTTTTGCCCAGATGTTGAAACAAGTTTTCTTTCTTTTATGTTTTGAGTGGCTTGTGATTCTAGTTTCCTTAAAATACATCATTTCCTCATCCACAACTGTGATACTCTGTGCTCAGTTTAGCACTCAGTGCCTACCCATGTTTCACTGCTTTGCCATGTTTCACACTAATAATACTCAAATAGTTTCATTTTTGTGAGAGCTGTTGATGCATTTCTAAGAGGATTTGGATAGTTGGAGCAATGATGAATTATTGCCCAGTTTTATGAGGGTTATAAAGGCACTTGCTGCGGGACAACTGTAGGAAATGAGTAAAGGAGACCCCCTTTTGGCCTACAACAACCTTATATTTAGCTGCCAATGCAAAACAGGAAGAGCTTGCTGGGCGGTTTGATGGAGCATACCAACATCCACTACTGAGCATCAATGCATGAGGCACCAGTTCTCAAGCAATGACGCTCTTGCCGTGCCTCGAGCCAGTGCGGAAGGCATGGGGCTTCGTAGCCTGTCAGCATCACAGGCATGGATGGCAGCATGGAGCACATGGCCTGCCTTGGGCATTGTTTTGAGGGCTACACCTCCATGGTACTAAGGTAATAACTTCTGTGCTGCTTACCCACCAAGGGTGCAGGTTCACCCTCTCTCACGCAGCAGATGCTACTATCCTCTCCCAGGCTGCTTCGTAAGACACCACTTATGAAAGCTTCTGGGATGAAAGCTTGTTAGCTAACTCCTGTACTGTGTTACAGTACAGTAACTGTACTGTACCTCAGCACTGGCTCTCTTACAAAAAGTCTCTGTGTGTGTGTGTGTGTGAGAGAGAGAGAGATCAATTCTTACCATTGTGCAGCTCGGGCTGGACCAAAGGCCAGGCTGGGGGACCCACGAAAGTGGCAGCTGATCAGAGCAGCAGAAGCAAACTCCATTTTATACCTCTAATCATGTTAATGCTATCAGTGGAGTGAGGTTAAAATACAGAACTGCATGTGCTCAGAGGTTTGGTTTGGTTTTGGTTTTGGGTTTTTTTTTTTTTTTTTTTGGGGTGTTACACAAAATCAGGGCTGTTAAACAGGAATGTAAAAGCAGCTGTAAAGCATGCTGGTTGGGTGAGGAGAAGAGGAATGTTAATTGTGGGCTTTGCAAGTGAAGCAACAGAGCATGGCAGTCGAAAATTCCCCCTGCACTCCGAAGATCGTTAAGTCCAGGATGTAAAATTACCTAGTTGCATCGCTGTGTTCTCATCAACTTCTCTTAACCAGCCAAGTAAATTCTCCCGCAAATCTTAGTCAGCTCAAACTCTCTTAATGTTTGAGTCAACTTAGTTCTGACCGAACTTGTTTTGGGCTTGACTGCAAGTGGCTTCAGTTTTTTCAGTCCCTAAACTTCCTTGTTGCTTCTGTTTGTTGCCTCTGGAATTTTTCAGCACCATCTGGGGCCACCAGTGTAGAGAACCCAGGGCAACTCTTGAAGGTAAAATCAGACTTTTGGGGTGTCTCATGATCCATGTTTATCTCCTCCTTGTCTGAGATGCATTTTATCTCCCCCAGCACCTCACCTTCCCACTGCTTGCTGTCACCTTCCTGTCCTCATTTGGGTCCTCCATGCTGTATGGCTACAACCTGGCCGTGGTGAACTCTCCAGCAGTGGTAAGATTGGGAGGGGGACGGCACATGATGCCCATCGCTCACTATCCTGCCCTCTCCTTAAAATGACAAATGACTCTGGTGGTAGAAGGGACCCTCCCCACATTTCCCAGCCTGCTACAACCCTCTGTATTTCCCCTTCCCGTTGGACAACACTCTCCTCTCCAGATGTCATGAGACCCAGCTGTGGTTAAACTCCAGGCACGGTGGATGTGGCGCTGGAACTCTGGAGCTCCCTCCTGTGCAGCCGCTTCCCCATGCTGTATCTTTCTCCTTTGCAGCACATCAAAGCCTTCTACAATGCCACATGGTACCAGCGTTACGGGCAAGGCCTGGCTCAAGGGCCTCTCACGCTCATGTACTCACTGACGGTTTCCATCTTTGCCCTGGGAGGCCTGATAGGGTCCTTTCCGGTGGGAATGCTCGTGACCCAATACGGAAGGTAAGAGCAGTAGCAACACCAAATCCGAACACGGCAGCACAGATGAGGGAGAGAGTGTTTAGGAGGGAGCACAGTCTTGGTATTGGTGCAAAATGCCTTTATCACAGCTGAGGCACATGCTAATGAAACCAGAGCAGCAATGAGAATGTGAGCTTGTGTCACACACAAATGCAATTGCAGAAGTTGGAGGAGTTGGAAAGAGGATGTGTGTGTGGGGGAGTGTCCTTTAAGGTTCATTTGCCTTTGTGTTTGTGTTACAATTAGCTATATGCACATTCACCAGGGGAAAGCAGTACCATTCCGCTGTTCCTGTCCCCTCACACAGAATTTTGGAAAAGGAGAAGGGTTGCAGGGAGAAGGGGGCAGTCCTGGAGCTTCTTGCTGCTGTTCTTCTACCTCCCATGGGGTGAAGCCAGTGATATTGCACCCTTGTTCCTCCACACCCCAAGGCAACTCCCAGTGAAGTCAGTCTGACTTCTTAGGCCATTGAAAATAAGCTGATTTTCTTTTGAGTGGACCTGTGCTTTCAGACTCAAAAAGACATTACAAATTTTATTTTTGTCAAAAAGAATGGGAAGGGAGAGAAGTAGCACTGTATTTACCGTCTAATTCACTGGGTAAGTTAGAGAGAGATGAAAACCGTGAGGAGGCTGACAGCAACTGAGTTGCTGCTGTTTTTCTGAAGCCCCGTCAGACACTTTCTCTCCTCAGCCTACACAGTACCACAAATGCAGCACACACTGGTATATATGCATGTATGTGGGGATGTGCGCACGCACACGGGAAATGCAACATATACTGGTCCAAAGAAATCTGGAATGTAATGGCAAGGACCGTGTGAGGAGCACAGCTTGGGGCGAGTGTCACATGACATAACAGTGAGTTGGGCATTGCCTTGTTGGTGGATGGCCCTGAGCTGGAAGGGTCTTCACACTTCTGCGCATTATGTCAAGCATAGATGGTTAGGGAAACAAGCCAGGCTGGCCCAGCATAGCTGGGTTCCTGCAGAAGTGCTCTGTCCAGGACCACTTTCCCAACCTGGTATCCTTCAAAGTACAGGACTACGTCCTCATGTCGAAAGGGGAGGGTGGAAGTCATACTCTGACACATCTGGAAGGAGCCAGATTGAGGAAGACTGTCCTATATCAGAGGAGGGCCTCTTTTGACAATCTAGATGTTTACAGTTCCCATCATCTTTCACCATTGGCTATTTTGGCTAGGGCTGATGGGACTTGTAGGCTAAAACATCAGGTGCCCTTCACTAGAGCCTTCTGACCTGACTGCTGTTCCTCCTTGTTGCTGTTCCCTGTTCACCAGTCCCATCTAAGCAAATTAGCTGTGACCAGACTACGGAGAAGAAACAGCCTTGGTCCACCTTGCCATCTCTCTCTGGGCAACTTTCTGAATTGGGCCCAAAGGGAGCAGGCAAGCAGGGCCTTTGCACAGCTCTGCTGAAAAACATCCTTCATTAAAAGCAGTTTCCCCTTAACTGACCCCACCAGCAGCCACTCCAGTGACTTGTGCTGAGGGAGATGAGAGGGAAAGCAATTCCACCAGCAATGCTAAATGAGCTAGTTCTTCCTTCCCCATCCCTTTTGCCTGGTGGGTTTTGTCCATTTAGATTGTAAGCCTGAGCACAGAAACTGTCTTGCTTAACAGTTATATCTAAGCCACCATGAGAGATTTTTTGATTGAGGAGTAGCACAAAATTATTTCAAATTATAAACAAATATGCAAGCAAGCAAAGGCACAATGACAACAGCGGTGGGGTGGGGGGGGGGAGATCACTTTGGAGAAGGAGCCCATAGAAAGCATCCTACCCACATGTGTCCCTGCCACCCCACTGCAAACCTGAAGCCTGCTGTGAAAGCAGCAGTATGCATGGAAGCCTCTAAGCCTCCATATGCCTTCCAGTGGTGGCCCTAAGAAAGGGGACAGAAAAAAATCTGAATGGGTGGCTATGATTAAGCCAGGACTGACACTGGGAGTTATAAAAATTAAAGGTCAAAGGAAGGCCAATTAATGAGATGCTGGCCATGCAGCTAGTTGTGGGTTGATTCTCCAGTGACCCTCTCAGGGCAGCTCACACCACTGGAACCACCCTCTCTCCCCCTGAAAGTCTGTATTAGTTTTCCCCATTCTGGGGCCCTCCAGATACATTGGACTGCAATTTCCATTGGCTCATTTAGGGTGAAAGCAAAAAGCAAAGCAGCCAATATCCCAGTGTCCTCATGCCAGAATCCCTGGAGCCTCTCCCTCTCCAGCCCAATTGCTACCCCTTGTGCAGCTGTGTCTGGGTGGTGGGGGGTCCTCCAAGTCTCAAAAAAGCACAGTTGGCATTAATTTGCTTTTTTCCAGTCCCTGAGAATTTCATAAACGCGCATTTAATTTTTAAAAAAGTTAGGCTTTTGTTCATGCAATCTTATGGCTATCCAGTCAGTGTAGGCTTGCCCTATCGACTGCCTTCAAAAGGACCCTTGAAGTGAAATAGGGAGCAAAGAAATTGATAAAGAGCAACTGCATGTAAGTTAATTGGTGCACAGTTGTTAAGGACCAATTGCCAAGCTTTCAGCTGAAACAAAAATATGCCCAGATTTAATGACTGGGAAGTAAATGAAGGAGAAATTTGGGTCCATTTAAAGTCTGGGAAGTAAATGGAGGTGAAACTTGCACACCTGTCAGAAAACAGTATTAACTGCAGCTGTAAGTGTTCTGAGAAAGATAAAAAGGTGCACCTTTCCTTATATCCCACCATCTTCCACCAATCTGCACATTTTGTGATAGAATCTCTCTCACACACACACACATACACAGAGAGAAAGAGAGAAAGAGCGAGAGCGAATGCGAGCATGCTCTGGTGGACGCATAGATTTTAACAGAATGGCCACAAATTAATTGATCCTACCTGAGCATGCTTTGATTCCCCACTACTGTATCATCTCCTTATTTTGAGCTGAGCTGAGGCTTCTTGCCAAATCTCAAGTCTATCATAAGAACAATTCCCATATGCTCCTGCAAACAGCATTATCTGGACTTAAGCTCTGGGCACTGCAATTACCCACACAACTGTGAAGTTGCTCAGAGATCCAAGTTGGCCTGTCTCCAATTTACATGGGTTAGGACATCCTTCCTCTGACCCGGTGTGCTCCAAATGTGTTGGACAAGAACTCCCATCATTCTAGCAAGAGTGATCATTGGAATGATGGGAACTGTAGTTCAACACATTTAGAGAGCACTTGTTTATGAAAGGCCAGGCAACATGTATAAATATCTATAATTAACTTCAATTCCTTTTTGGATGCAAACATCTATTCATTGGGCCAGGCCATCAGAAATTAACAGGGTGATCTAGAAGGATGCTTTCAAACTGTTGTTTGTACTGAATGTTTGTTAGGCTGTTTGAAGATGTTTCTAATTTAATGTTAAGAATAAAACAGCAACATGATTGTTCCTGAACCATTTGTGTTAAAAGATGGCATGCAAACAAAGGAAATATGCAAATACAGTGGGTCATTTAAGTTAAACTTACTGTCATGACTGATTCACTATTTTTGCCTGCCTCTTGACTCCTGTTTTGGATTTAAACTCTGCAATAAGAACAATACCCATGTGCTCCAATTTAAGGTCCAAACATAAGAATAATGGTAAAATTCCAACCATCTGGGAGGCTGCACAGCTTCTACATAGCTAGATCATCCATTTCTGAGATGTATTTATTTATTTCATTCTACTTCTATGCCACCCCATAACCCAAGGGTTCTCTGGGCAGCTTGTAAATATATGTATGTGATACAAACTTTCCAACCTAATGCACTCATGATGCTTTGAACTACCTTCTCCAGACAGTATGGTCATGCTGGCTAGTGCATGATGGGGGTTATAGTCCAATACTTCTGGAGTGCACCAGGTTGGAGAAGGCATGTTAGAACATGACAAGCTGGCTTAATGGAAATTGAGGAGAAGGGAAAAGGCTATGCTTTGTTGTTTTTTTAATTAATTTTTCAATCTAAAATACAACTTTAAAAAATCTTACAACTGAGATAAAATCATATAAGATTAAACATACAGTTAAAATAAATCTTAAACACACTGTGCCCCCACCACCAGGACCATAGGGTACATGTCATAGATAGGAAAACTCATTCAAATATTCTTTCAGGACATTTCCCCCTTCTTAAAACTGCAATAATTCTTTTGATGGTTCAAATCCTTTCCCTTTTTTAAAAACACACTCAATAAATACATAAATCTCATTAAACTTATTTTTATATGTTCTTTTCTCACTTTAATATCACAGGTAAATTTATCATTAATAGCTATATTCCAAACTTCTCTGCACCAATCACACAATTGATAATCCTATTTTATTTCCACTTCTCAGCTATAAGTAATCTCACAGCAGTTATTAAATTTGTTATTCGTTATTTATTATTCCACCTCCATTGTTTCTTATCAAATATTGAAAATAATGCAATCTCAGGGCATATTTCAATATTTAAACTTAATATTTTACTACTCTCTTTTAAAAAACCCTCTTTCTAAAACTTCATTATATATCCACATTCCCACCACATATGAAAATATGTACCCACTCCATGACCACCTCGCCAGCATAAATTGGAAATGCCATGCTTTGTTAAGGTAAAGGAAGAGAGGGTAACTGGGCTATGATAATTTTGGGGATGCAAGTTGAGTGTTGTGCTGCAGTGGAAAACAGAGTGTTTAAGGAACTGAAGGAGGGGAAAACAATATGGTGGTCTTTGGAACTTCCTGAAATTAAAGTTTCTATCATCCCTACTAGGAATGGTACCTTGGTACGTAGCAACTTCCTAGTCCTTCTGGCTGGCATGTTAATGGGGTTCAGTCGGTATTTGGAATCACCTGAATTAGTCATCATTGGACGTTTCATCACTGGCATTCACTCTGGTAGGAGATGACACTCTGCTCAGCCATTCTTCTCTATTTGGGGGTGGTGCGTGTGAAGCAATGTGAGGCAACAGCGCTATTTAGTACACTGCTACTTAATCCTCACAAGCAATAGTCCACATTCTGAACTTGTTTCTGGATTGTACCTTTGGATGGCCTGTGGGGGCTTATGATTGACACCCCAATCCTGGACAGGTCTACTCAAAACAAATCTTTTTGCATTCAACAGGATGGTAGAATATTGGGCAACTCAGTAAGGAACAGTTTCCATTTCCTCCTTTCTTCTAGTCTCTAACCTGCCTATTTCTTTCCACACCACCTCCTCTTGACTAGCTAGTTCCTGCAGCAGTGAACATAGGACTAGCCAAATCCTCATCCTTGGGAGCCATTTTGTGGTGGTGCCCATGATGGTTTCTCAAATTTCCAAATATGTTTGCAGGTCCAAAAAGTTTGAGGGCCCCCCAGATCAGCTGTCTTTTTTTGCCATTGACATTTCTTACTTGAAAACAAAAGAAATGGTTAACTTTTTAGTTTTGAAGTTGGAACTGAGTTCCTGCCAAGAAAAAAGAAAAGTTCAAGGAATATATTAGAAGCGAATGCATTTCCTGCATCTTCTGAATTGAGGTGATCACCACAAAATGTTATGCCAACATAAACTAGATATTAAGCTCTTGCAAATCCTTCCTGTTTGTTGCAACCAAAAATTACGATTGCCTTGGGGGTGGGCATTTAGGTAGATGAATGACTCCTTGAAGATACACAGCTAATCCTCAGCTCGGAGGCTGCTTGCTCAAAGACTGTTGTCTTGGCCCTGTGGAACATATGCTCCTGCATGCCAAAAGATGTCCACTGGTTCTCCACCTCTGTTTCCTTCCTACCAGGGATATGTCTCAGTGTGGTGCCCATGTACCTGGGAGAAATTTCACCAAAGAACCTTCGTGGATTCCTGGGCCTTGTACCAAGCATCTTCATCTGTCTGGGGGTCTTCTCTGCCCAAGTTTTGGGCCTGCCAGAGCTGCTGGGGGAGGTAAATGCTTTTGCCCCCATCTTTAACATGGAATGGGTCAGGAAGATTTAAGAAGTATCAGTTTAAGGACACCGTGATGAGGCAGGGAGACTTCTCACACCAGAATGTGCTGTTAAGTGCTCTCCACTTCTCTGAGCACAGATAATTTCTTAGGTTAGTGCTTATTACCCAGATTTTGCTCCTTTTGGAAGAGATAGCTGGAGATTCCCATATATGAATTCATGGTGAGTTTATTTACAAATATACCATTGATTATGGATAGAGGTAATTACTCGTATAAACAGTTATTCCACAGCTCCAGCATCAGATTTCCTGAGAGGATGAGCTGTGCCTAATCATATGCTTTCAGCTAGGGAATGAGAGAACACACAAGGTACATGTTCATTTAGAACCTCCTGTTTTAAATGTGAGGAAGTTTTACTGTTTGGCTTTTGAATCAAAAAAGTGATCATTGTTTAAAATGCACATTCAGAAGGCACACTTTCAAACCATAAAGCATAACATGTTCTGTTTTTTAAGCACAGTTTTCAGACCTGAATCAAAGTTTGGGAACTTGCAAGCTTTTCCAGAAAATTACATATCTGTCCACATGCAGAGTTGTGAACAGAATCAATTCAAAGTAAAAACAAACCTAGACAAAATGCCCATACATCCCTGCTTACAGCTCTTAGGTCTTTCTCACTCTTTTTGAATTGCAGATTCACTGTCTCCCAGCTCCCATAAGTTCAGCCACCACCTTCCCTCAGGTGCAAGCATGTGTGCAGAGATGCACGGACACGTTAGTCACCCCCTTAGTTAGGATGGGGGTGAGTCATCTTAATGTCTCTTCTAGAAGTATCTTCTACTATTTCCTGTCCCATCTGGACAACCTGCCTCTAATTTCCTTAACTAAAGGAAATTTTATATACCTGCAGAGATTATACCTGGCCTTCGATCAAATTTAGGAATTTGAAGCAGTGACTCAGAACCCCTTTAACCCTCTCTTCTCCCAACCTCAAACTCCTTCATAGCAATCAGAGGGTGAGCCCATAATCATTTTATGTGATGAGAAAGTCTGCCACAGAAAGAAAAGGAACCAGCATTAAGGATCATGTTGGAGAAAGTGGGAGAGACACAGTTAAAGAAAGGAGGGAGAGCTCATTCCTCAGGCTACCCTCCTTTCTATCTATGCACCCTCCCAACCATTAATGGTGTCATTCCTTAATAGCCACAGCTTGTTTTCCTGTTGGCATTTTGAAAATTTCCCCCTTCCAGTTTCTGTAATTAGGCCCTCCAGACTAGGCTTCCCAAGACATTCCTGGAGGAGAAAAAGGGAGGAAGGGACATGCTTAATAGACTTAATATCTTGTGTTCTAGCAGCCGTGGGGGGCATGTGCTCCTCTTTGCCAGGAGCAAGCTCTCCCCTCCCACCTCTGGGGATGCTTTCTTCCTAGGATCCCTACTGGCCTCTCTTCCTCTCTGTGGTGGTAGTTCCAGCCTTCCTGCAGATGTTGCTGCTCCACTGGTTTCCAGAAAGCCCGCGGTACCTGCTCATTGAGAAGAACAATGTCCATGCAGCTACTAAGGGTGAGTGAGGAGCCATCTGCTGCTTGCCACCCAACCGTGGTGGGCACGATGTGTCCTGGGACGTACCTTCCCTCCCCATCCATACCCAAGGCCAGGAACAGGACTGTGTTTTGCACCCCATGCTTTTTAAATATCTACATGAAACTGCTGGGAGGTTTGGGCTGGTGTCATCCGTAGGCAATGACACTCAGCGCTCCATCTCATTTATATCTGATCCAGGTGAGGCAGTGTCCATTCTTGACCAGTGCCTGGGCTCGGTAATGGACTGGATGTGGGCAATAAGCTGAAGCTCAGTCCAGACAAGACAGAGGTACTGTTGGTGGGGAGTCTGTCTGTCCAAATGGGGAACTTCCAACCTATCCCGGACTCAGTCGCATTCCTCCTAAAGGACCAGGTTCACAGCCCTGGAGCCCTCCTGGAGCCCACGATGTCACTTGTTGCTCAGGTGGACTCGGTAGCCGGGAGCACTTTCTACCAGCTTCAGCTGGTTATCAGCTGCATCCCTGCTTGGATGTTGCTGCAGTTATCCACACACAGCCACCCTCGTACCTGGATTCTCGGATTGTGCTCTCCATGGGGCTGTCTTTGAAACTGGTCTGGACACCGCAACTTGTCCAGGATCAGGCAGGACACCTGCTGACAAGGACAGGTGCTCGTGAACATATCATGCCAGTCCTGTGCAGGGCGCATTGGCTGCCAGTTGCCATCTGGGCCCACTTCAAGGCGCTTCCAATAACATATGAATCCCTAAAAGGCTTGGGGCCAACCTGTCGGAAGGGATGCCTATCTCCATATGTACCATCCCAGTCACTAAGGTCATCATCTGAGGCTCTTCTCTATATCTCCCCCCTAATGAAGTACGAAGAGAAGGGCCTTTTCTGTAGTAGCATCCCAACTATGGAACTCACTTCCATCTGACATCCAGCTGGCATCATCCCTTTATTATTTTAGATGCCTATTAAAAATGTTCCTCTTTCACATCCATTTTGGCAGCTGAGTTGATTGGTTTTTATGGTTTTTATGTGCAGCCACACTATGATTTTAATACCAGACCATTTTTATCTCATTTGTTTATGTATAATTTTATTCCATTTTGTTTTAGGAGGCTTTAAATGGTTATATATATATTGAGTGTTTAATTTTGATGCCCCCTTCTTATACTATTTAAACTTATTTTATCTATATTGTTTAGCCTATTATTGATTTTATTGTTTATTGTTTGCTTTTATACTTTATCATGTGTTGTTGAATGTATTATGCACTGTGTTATTTTAACTGTTGCATAACATACTGTGAGCCACCCCTGAGAGCCTTATGGCTAAGGGGGTGACCTAGAAGTCAAATAAGTAACAAATAACCCAGGGGCCACCTTTCCCTTTCAGTAGAAAAAATTAGGTTCATATGACCAGCACTGAGGTCTGGCTGCTTAAAAATCAAATGAACAAAAGCCCACAACAAATGCTTGCTTCATTCAAGTATCTGGGCTTGGCATAGAAAGCCAGAGGTGGTACTGAAGTAGCATAAAATAAGAGAAGTCGTGGACTGATTTAAGAAGCAGAGCTCTGTCTGTGCCCATCACCCCTCTTCCCTTGGGCATTATTATTGGGGAGAAGGGACCTCTTTGGTTCTTGATCCACTCCAGTGAAACTCTCGCCCTTCCCTATCCAAAGGTCTGTGTTTGTACTAGTGGCTTCATGGGGTGATGCAGGCATGGCCAACGCCTGTTGCTCCAGGGCCGCCTTTTCTCCAGACTGGCTCCATATTAAAATCGGCACCCTCTAGCCAGAGGGGATTCCCAGGTGCAAAGCCTGCAGTCTTACTCACACATCTGCTCTGTTTCCAAAGCCCACCCAAATAGTCAAAGAGAGAGAATATCAACATGTGGGATCCCTGCAGCATTTGCACTGCTTTTGATCTGGTCACGGGGCAGGGCAGGGGTAAGAAATGTCCCTTTGGAGGCAAGGCACAGCCCTCCGGGTGGCAGTCCCACATCCCTGCCTGGAGTTTTCTCATCCAACTTACTTTGCGCTTACAGCACTGCGCTGGTTGCTTGGCAAGTATGACGTGCAGGACGTGATTGAAGAAATGGAAGCGGAGAAGCGTTCGCTCGCCTCTGTGGAGACCGTCACTGTGTGGCATCTGCTGCTGGATCGCTCTGTGAGGCGGCAAGTGCTCTCTGTTGTGGTGATCAACGTGGGCATGCAGCTCTCTGGAATCGATGCGGTAAGGGCTGCTGTGCCGAGCCATCAGCCCCAGGGCCACCACCGGCCCGGATGCACTGGCCCCCCGCTGCTTCCCCTCTCCACCTTCTGGCCCTCCATCTATGGTTGGACTCCAGTTTCCATCAGCCCTAAGGAAGGCCAAAAGGGAGGAATGACAGAGCTGTCTCTGCCCATTCATTATCTTCAAGCTCAGCTGCATCCCAGTCCCGCTGTTTTTGCCCTTCATTGAATTCCCCATCGGAGTTACCCAAAAGAAAGAGTCACAGCTGGGGAGGATCATGCTCATCCCCAAATGGATTTATTGTTTTACACCAGGAAGTAAAGATGTCAGTATCTGTCTTTCCAATAATCCTGTCTGGCAAATCAAGTGGAGTACAAGCAACAGTGACAGGCCCCTAACTATTTTTATTTGAACCTGGACCCTCAAACTGTGCTTATTGGGGCCCACTGACTTATCTTGCGAGAGGAGGCAGGGATCTGCTGCAGGCACTGGTTCTCTGACTCCTGCTTTTCAGGAGAGCGGTCCCTCTCCCAAGGGGTTGGAAGCAGTACCTTGCTTTGGCAAGGATGCAACCCAGGCTCGCCTGTGCTTACAATGTCCCCTGCTCTTCCTTGACAGATCTGGTTTTACACAAATGCCATTTTTGAGAAGGCCGGCATCCCCGACCAAGAGATACCCTACACCACAGTGGGCACTGGCGCAATCGAGGTTGTTGCTGGCTTGATAGGCGTAAGTGTGTAAAGTTCTGGGGTACACCTTGTCCTTAAAGGGGCGTTGTTGTTATGCTGCCAGCTAGGCTTGAGCTAGACGCTTGATTGAGCTTTCTACATGAAGGGGCAATTGCCCCCCCTCCTCAGGATCGGGCCTCTTTGATGGTTGGGGTACACCAGTGGGACCCCCAGACTGCCCTTCAGCATTCCTCAACTGGGAGGAGAGGTTCCATAATTAAGCAAAGCCAATGTGCCTCTGAACACCTACGTTTAATGTTTACCTATTTATTCAACTGAAAGGAGAGAGTTCTTGGCTTGAGGATCCACCTGGATATATCAGGTTCATGTGTGTCCGAGTGAATGAGCAAGGATGGCTGGATGGGAGCAGGTCATGTGTGATTCGTGTGACTGGTATGATAAAGTGTCTGTGGGTTATGCTCCATGGTGTGTGAGAGGCGCATGGGTTTGGTCCAAAGTGGGAAAGAGATAGGCAGGAATAAATTGGCTGACAAAGGAGGGGAGGAGTTCGCCTGTTGTGAAATAGGCTTCTCTTGGCACTGAAAAGAGTGGGCTCAGTGTTGGTGTTTAGTGTGCTGGAAATGAGCCCCAATCTCTGCTATTCAAACTTTGGGGCAGGTCACTTGTCCTTTGTGACCATTCTCCCCCAACCCCAATGGCAGCCATTTTGTGGGGGTGCCCAGAACAGTCTCTCAAATTCCTCATGGGCCCAGAAAAGTTGCCTACCCTGATATAGGATAACAGAATAAGATAACAGAGTAGCTGTGAAATGAGTAACTCTCTCTGTCTTTGCTTTCCTGATCTCCATTGGACAGCAAATATTACTTCTGAATTAGGGAAATCTAGAAAGCAGAGTAGGAAGCCTGGATAAGAGTGAGAGAGGGTTCTGGGATCAAAACCTTCAGCTCAAAGCATTTACAGACTGACACATGTCCCAAACATGCTCACATAACAATTGTAAACTAAGGTGCCCATCTTGAGTTTTGCATCAAGTAAGCAGTAAACACATTTTCACACCTTACATATAGTGCTCATTTGGAATTTAGCTTCCTTATATCTATGTTTTCCCTTGGCCTTCCAATCTCAATTCTCTACTTCTGCAGGTTGGGGGAAATACTGGAGCTTTGCTCAGTAAGGGCCAGCACATCGTCAGCTGTTAATTAGATGAGAGTTGCTAAGTTCTAGATAGTGTACCTTATGCTGTGATACACATTTAGGATGACCAAAACAGAGGAGATTTATCATGAAAGAAAAGGAGACCAGTTTGTACATTTGCCTTTGCTTAAATTTCTAAATGCAAATTGAAAAAGAATTACTATAATCTAAATTGAAACGCAGTAATTCTTACCATAGTGGGGAGAATAGTAACTTGGTGACTTCTTTGCCAGCTCAGCCTGCCATCCAGATTGATTGACTGACTGACTGCTTGATTTTTGATGCAGCCCAATAGTCAAAGCTCTCTGGGCAGTTTACAATAGCACATTAAAAATTCAATGTAAAATACTCCATATCATAAAAAGTTTACAATAGAAATTTTAGAACCAAATTTCAAACAAATTTTAAAAATTACAATAATTGGAAGACCTGTTCAACAACTAGCAATTCGCAGCAGACTCACTGAATGCCCTGAAGTAAAGGACAGTCTTTTTTTGGTGCCAAAAAGTTGGTGCCAGGCAGGCCTCAGATGCTAAGTGTTGATGAGTTCAAAGCTCTTGTTCTCCCTTCCTTTTCACCATTCTTTCTCTTTGAAGCAGACACCACCATCACTGTTGTCCATAATATTTTTATTTCTATACAACTCAATAGTCAAAACTCTCTGCATAGAGTACAACAACAGACCGGGACAGGACAACCCTTCAAATTGAGAACAGTCCTTTGTTAAGTAGGACAACTTAGCACTCTACTATATTTAACAGTGCTTTGCTCTGTATGGGGTGGGGGGTTATGTCTCTGTTGCTATTTTGAGTGGAGAAGAATGCCTGTGTACCTGTGGATGATGCAGGACAGAGAAAAGAGAAGGCTTCGCTGTCAGGTTTGGTTGTGGGAAAACAGCAATTGCAAGGCATATTTCAAGAAGCACCTAAAAGAACTGACCAAATAGATAGTTCCAAAAGGCTGCCCAGTGGACAGTCTGGTTACACAGAATGCTGCTTGGTTCTTTAAATGGCTGAAATAATGAATTCACTCATTGAGTCAGCTAGTTATGGATTTTAGTGCTATTACGAGAGAATTGGAGAGGTGAAGGTTTCTAGGTAATCCTTGCATGGATACACAGAAGGACTGGAAGGAGACGAATATCCCCAAGCATGTTTGTGTCCGGATATAAAAAGTCTGCTTTGCAGGGATGGGCTCAACTGGATCCCACAGGGTCTTGGTCCTCACTGCCTAATCCTAGCACTCTGTACTGCCCTTCTGGCCAGCACACCAGTCGGAAGACAATTGTTCATGGCCCTCGGCATGCACAAGATACGCTGCTTTATGGAGTAGCAGTAGCCCTAGCTGGGTCTCTCCTGGGCTGCCGCTGCTGCAAAGCCAGTGAGTTGGGAACACGAGGAGAGGAGGTGTTCTCACCTTCACAAAGCCGCTCCCAAGGGGATGCGGCCCAGGTATGTATATAAGGAGAATTCCTGGAGGTAAACACTAGACTGGGTTCAACGAACACTCTGTGCATGCTTAGAGATCCATTCTGGGCGACTTACACTTGGGAGCAATGAAGAAAGTTTTCCAAAGGAAAAGGCCTGTGGCTTGTGCCAGCTCAGAGGAGGAACCTTGGCGTGCAGCTCCCTCCCTCCCACTGGTGTTGTGCACGTTAGAGTTGGGCATAAGAAGTTTCGGGCTTCAGCTCCAGGCATTCCTAATTGCCAGCCATGATGGCTGGAACTTCTGGTAGTTGAAGTCCAAAGTATCCAGAAATCTACCTTCTGCTCACCACTTACTCCTTCCATTTCTCTCAGAGAAAAGGTTAATTAATGGTACCTCCTACCTGTAGAGTTACTCTTCAGTAACACAAAAGGACAGAAGTCATTTATAAAGCAAATAGCTGTTTTCCCACCACTGGAAGTTATTTGTAGCATTGAGAATTTGCCTGGGAGATGACTTGAAAGGACTCTTGGAATTATTACTAATAGCCCATAGCTTTGCATGGCCCACAGACAGGTAAAACAACGGCTTTGAGGGGTGCAGTAAGCTGTACCTGTAGGCAACCTGCAGGTTTGCTGGGCACAGCCACTTGAAATTTGTGTTTCTTTGCTTCTGTTAGAAGTATAAATTGCTGAAAAGTCTTATATCTAATCCATCTTGGGGCTACTTTCGTATCACGGGGTGCTCACTTCAGCTCTCCCCATCCCTTTGATTCCAAATCCTAGCATTGCTGGGACAACTTTCTCACCGGATATCACTCAGGGCTGTCCATGTCAGGCCGGTGCCTCTCCCTGGTACACAAATGCATCGCTCTCCCACCACCAACCTCCTTTGCTGCCCGTCAGCAATGCCTGACTCCAGCAAGCTCATCGCTCCATCAGCCTGATTGCTCCTGAGTGCCGACAAAAACGGCCCCCAATGGATGCGCTGAGGTTGGTTATAAAATTACAGGCATTTGTTCTGCTGTCAGCAGCCTTCCTGCTTTGGCTTCCTTCTGGCAGCTTCTTCCCCCACCCCCGTCCTGGCAAGCACGGATTCCGAGATCCCAGAGCACCCCCTCTGCTCCTTCCCTAACCCTGAATCCCCTCTCAAAGCTGATGTAGAGCCAGGCTACCGTTGTGCCCACCATCCAATAAACCTGCCTATGTGTCTGCATAGAGACACATGTGCAGATGCTGCAACGGTGCAGAGGTACATTTTGGAGTCTGGGTGCTCATCGTGGGAGTCCCCAGAGCTATACCCCCAGAGAGAGTCCATAAATTCAGTCAGTCATCAACAAACCACTTCTTGCAGTTTTATCTGCACCAGAAGCACATCTTTTGTAAAGCTAATGGGTCTTAATGGCCCATTCAAGACCAAGAAGCTCCAAAACACATTGTTTTACAATGGAGAACCAATATATTGTTGGTGGAAAAATTCATCAATCCCTCCCCACCACCCTGCAGAAGCTACTGTGAGAACATCTAACCTCAGAGGGAACAGGACATTCTGAGGAGGATGGCAGACAATGCCTGTCCATGCAAACCAGAAAGTGCTGGCATTGGATCTCTCTAAGCCCTAACTCTGTGTGTGTGTGTGTAAGAGAGAGAGAGAGAGAGAGAGAGAGAGAGAGACTCAATAATAAGTCAATTGAGAGTTAATTGATAAGAGAATCAATGAGAATCAATAACTGGGTTCACCACTCTTGAGTGTGAGTTGTTATTGAACCTTGAGTTACCATGTTGTCTGAGCTCAGCTGTGTTAACCATGCACAATATTCCAGGAGAACCCATGATTTGTTCTTGGGTTGTTTACTACTGTTGATCTCAACAACCTGTATGTTTCAACAGCTGCCCATGGTTCAGGAGCAGTCTAACTCAACCAATACTCAACTCCTGAGTGAAGGTTATCATGTAGTTTGAATTCAGTCAATGTATCCTATACTAGACCTCCTTTCTCTTTTAGTGCTTCACCATTGAAAAATTGGGACGTCGCCCACTCATTATAGTTGGTTTCTGTTTCATGGGCATCTGCTGTGTAGGCATCACCCTGTCTCTGGTGCTGCAGGTAAGAACAGCCCCATGGACAAGGCTTTACCTGGGAATCTGGGTTCGTAAAAAAATTTCTGCAGTACTATATCAGAAATTTGATCTTGTGTATCATTCCAGGATGTGGTATTAGGAGGTCTTGGGTTCTCAACAGCTTTTCCTGTTATATTATCTTCTCTTGGGACAGTAGGTACACTGGACTTCCTCTTCACACCTGGAGGCTAAAACATAAATGCAAAGATAATGTGGTCTCGGTCTGGTAGGTGAATTTAGTGCAAGCTTTAGTGTGACTCCACAAATTAAGAGAGGATGAAAGAAAAACTTGTCTTCACTGAAATACTGGTCAAAATGTATGAAGATAAAACTGAAGACAAGTTAAGGGAGCAAGAATGGAGAAGCTTAGGGCTGGCATATCTGAGCATAGGGCATCACCAGCTGGAAACAAGTTGCACAGATAAATGAGATCAGCCAGAATGAGACAACATGCAGTTTGAAGATTGTGCCCGTAGGGTGCAGACTGGACATAGTGGTGGAATTCAGGAGTTGGGAGTCAGAGAAACATCTCCTGTTGCATTTTGTACTGGTTCTTTCAACAACGTTCTACCCTACTTGCAGGCAACTGTGTCTTGGATGCGTTACGTCAGTGTGGCATGTGTCATTGGCATCATCGCTGGATTCTGCATGGGACCAGGTGGGTTCCTAGTGCCAGGAGGGGGCATCCAGTGAATCGCAGTATGACCCAGTCTCTCTTCAAGTCCACTGGGCCCCAACAGAAGTCTAGAGGGCCTGAGGCCACATATGTGTGGATTATAGGACTCCAACCCTTCTGTAGCTGAAGAGTCCAAGAACAGGAGTAAGAGGAACTGGGTGGGAGAAGCAAATGGAAAGGATGCAAATACTTTGGTCTCTTGAGATGATGGAATGAGTAGTGAGCTTTCTTATGGTGAATTCTCCTTGGTGTTTTTGTTAGAGCCACTTGGAGTTGATAGAAGGTGCGAAAATATAGAGTTTGGTAGTTGTGGGCACCCAAAAGATCATGCCAACAAGACAGCGGCAGGAAATGGAATCTGTCATTTGCTCAGAATGCAGGATTTGAAGCACCTGTCAGAATTCAGAAGTTCTTCTGTTCTTTTACTTGGGGTTGCACAAGCTTTTCTTCTGCTGGCTGCTGCTAACGAAGAGGCAAAAGCACAGCACTCTAAATATGATGGACGAGGCGGCTGCTGGTTTACCCAATTGATGTATTAGTGCAGCCGCCAACAGATCCATAACTCATTGTCGGCCCAGAATTTATTCGCTGTAATTACATCTTTAATTAGGATTTTAATGGCTCATTGTTCACAAACAATGATGAATCTGACTTTTAAAATAAAAATATCTCTCTTCCCACTCTGGGTGATCTGTGAGCAATGTTCAGAAAGAGCTTTCCCTCCCTTAACATTCCTTCAATGGATTCTGTTTAATTTTTTTTAAAACACATTTATTTCAGCAAACTGTTCTACATGGTCCTGAAAGAAGGATGTGCTGCTTACATTGCTACATGATAAAAGAGGCCAGATCTTGCAGTATGGTTAGAACATCAGCATTCCTATTTCTCAGTCAAAAGTCTCAGCTCCTGTGCAGGATGGCTCCTCTTAAAGAAGTCTCTGCTCATATTAGCTTCCTACTGTGGTTGCACCCTACTGTGCCCATGCACTTTCAGGAGCGACTGCTTGTGCAACAGGGCTTTTGTGCTTCTAAAAATAAACTGGAACAAGCAAAATGGCTCATTTCCAGAACGGGTTAGGTCAGCAGAGCTTGCAGAAGGGAGCTCCGTTGACCTGCCCTGACCCGGAAATGAGCCAAAATTCCAGGGTTATTTTTAGAAATGTGAAAGCCTCATTGAGCAAGTGGTGCACAACTAAAGCAGCAGAGGCAGAAGAGTCCCATTGGATACATCCTTAAATGTGTAGCTGAGCTGAAATAGGGAGTTTTATGAACAATTTCATAGTCCTCGAAAAGCAAACCCCACCACCTCCATTTTCAGCTATTGGAGGGGTGTTCAAATGTTAGTGAAAGACGGACCATGTCCACCTTGCCTCATCAACGAGGCACACAATCCTGTTTTTCTGTGTTGCAATAAAGTTACATTGCCCTCAGTTCCAGTTGCATGAAAACGTCCATCGGAACGTACATTCCAGCACACAGATTTCTTGGAGAACAATAGTGCAGACAGACAGTGTTCAGCCGGTGCACATTCAAATGAATAATAGTCAAAGATGAATGTTGATGTTGAGTTGATCTCGATGGGATGTGAGCTCCACTAAACATTTCAGTTGCATTCTGGTGCACCAACGGCTCAGTTAGAGCAATGCAACTTCATTTAACCTGATGTCACCTTAAAGCCATAGTTGATTTGTTCTGTGACATTGTCACCTTTTCAGCATCATCTGTGACTAGCTGGGATCACAAAAATAAATTTCTATTTGTCTAAAATAGGGGCTGTGCATGGGAATGGTGTAAAAGCAGCAGCAGATTGGGTGAAGAATGACTCTAGAAAAGAGGGTGGTAGAGGGCTTGGAGAATGCTGTTTGCACCCTTGTAAGGCATGCCTGTTGCCTTGAAAATGCTTGAGGGCAAAAATTTGTTCTTGCTCTTTGCTTGCACAGGTTCTGTTCCAGTTTATCCCTGCAGTGATATATGAATGTTCCCTCTTGCACCAACATTTTTTTTCTAATTCTGCTGGAAATCATCTTTGAAAATCTGGTGCTTTTAAAATGGCTTCTTCCAACCCAAGTTGAACCATCACAAAAGAGTTAGTTTCAGGGTCTGGTTTTGTTTGTGTACCGACAGTCTGTCCCTGGTGACAAGAGCTCAAACTAAAGTGCAGCTTGGCCTGCTGGGTTCTCAGGACTACCCTTCTCTTACAGCCGGGGTCCCATTTCTGATGACAGCCGAACTCTTCAAGCAGTCACACCGGCCACCTGCGTACATTGTGGGTGGCTCCCTCAACTGGCTCTCAAACTTCACTGTTGGCTTTGTGTTCCCCTTCCTACAGGTAGCGCTGGCACTGAGGGGGTGGTACAGTCCAGGATCCTCCAATGGCAGGGTGCAGCATCTCCTGCCAAATATGGCCCCCCTGGGTCCCAGCCCACCTTTTGGGGGTTCCCTTTCCACTGGTACCGCCTCCTCCCCTTGATCCCATGGAGGTTTCCTGGCGTTTGCAAGGTTTTCCCCATTCTAAAAGGAGTAAATCCTTCTCCCAAGCCTTACTTGCTAAGAGCTGTAACCTACCATATATACTAGTACTTATAGTGTCACGCCCCCACCGCAGAACGTAGCTCCCAGGAGCGTCTCTGAAATGGAATTTGGTCCTCTGAATGGCTGGAAGATGTTCAGCACCACTATCCGACAGGAAAAACGGTCGTCATGCCTTGTGGTGCTGTTATATAAGCCTCTGCAGCTGTAGCAGTGGCCTGCAAGGGATGGGGTGGTTTGCATACTGGGGATGCATTACGATTCTGTTAGCAGTAGTTCCTGCACACAACCAAGAGGAGGATAACCAATCTGGATGGCTTTAAAGGAGGCCTGGCCAAATTCATGGAGAAGGCTTTCAGTGGCCACTAGTCCTAGTGGCTGCATGCTTCCTCTGGCGTCAGAGACAATATGCTTATGTACACCAGGTGCTAAGGAACACGGGTGGGAGGATGCTGTTGCACTGCTGTCGGGTTTCCCAGAGGCAGCTGGTTGGTCACTGTGTGAGCAGCATGCTGGACCAGATGGACACTTGGACTGAGTCAGCATGGCTGCTCTTACATTCTCATGAATGCTGCATCTTCTGTGTGACCTAGAAAGAAGCTGTCATTAGAAGCAAGGAAGGCTCTCCAGAGGTATGGGGTAGCTTACTGGAGCCTTCCCTGTTCTGATGCCCTCCAGATGTTTTGGAGTACAATTTCCATAATCTCTCAATTGGTTGTGCTGCATGGGGCTGCTAGGAGTTGAGGTCCAAAGCATCTGGAAGACATCAGGTTGGGGAAGGCTGGATTAATACTTTCTCTGTGGGAATCCTGCCCCTGACTTGTAAGTGGGAAAAACCATAGGGTAGGCAGCCTGGCACCCTCCAGACATAGCTGGACTCCAAATTTCATCTTCCCTGGCAATTAGCCGCACTAGCTTGGGATGATGAGCACTGCAGTTCAGCAACACCTGATAGGCACCAGGTCACTTACTCTGTTACAAAGATGGGGATGCCCACACAGTCACCAGCTATTTAGTAGTGAAGCAAGCATTTGCTAGAGGCGTCCGAGTCTGTGTCTTTTCAGACCTGATATTGAAGCTTGTATTGAGCTTCTAAGGGAGCACAAAGACCAGTCAATGATCCTCAAATTACAGGACAGAGAACTTGCAGCAAAACCCAGCTGGTCTTGACAGACGAATCCCTAATCAGATCACAAGGATATACCAAAACAGCAAACCAATTCCACCAAGCCAAACGTTTTGTAACTGACATTCACTGCCTCAAGACACGAAATCGCTTTGTTCTAAAAGTACTGGGCCATCTCTCATAGAAGCAGCACGAGAAGGCAACACCGGAGGAGCGAACAGGCCCAGGTTTCTTCTGCGGGGCCAGAACAGGAGGCTGGCTTGTGCCAGGGTGAAGGGGTGTGTGGATGACTGGACACAACGGTTGTGTGTGCTATTCCTGAACTCTGGGTTTTTGTTGAAGCGTGGATTATTGTGTCATCGGAACCCAGTCAGGATAACAAACCATGGTGAGCAACCCACCATTTGCAACCCAACAATGAATCATAGGTTCTTGACATGTTGTTTGTGATTGCCAGTTCATGGCTTGTTAGTTCAGCTGGGTTTAGTTAACATTTCAACAACAACCCACAGTCAACCCATACGCAACCCTTGAATGTGGGTTATCATACTGCCTGAATCCAGTCCATTTGTATGTGAATATTAACTATGCCAATTAATTTCAGCCATAGAATTTGAGTTTTCTGGCTCAACTTTGGAAGGCTATGTGATCTAGACTGGGAAATCCCTCTAATCGCCCCAGGGAAATGCATCAAGAAGGGGGTCCAGGTGTAGCTCAGTGGTAGAGCCCAGGTTTTGCATGCAACAGTCCTAAGTTCAGCTTACAGCATCTCCAGGTAGGTCTGGGAAAGAGCCCTGGTGGAAACCCACTTGCTAGGCCATGCTGAGCATACACAACCTTCTATCTTCTTATGAGGCCCTGGTAGATGGGATGGGTTATGAAAACCAGGAATGGTACCTGGGGCTGAGATCATGACATTCACCACAGTTGTGATCAAGTTGTACATACTCAAATTGCTGGTGATGGCTTTTTATTGCATTGCATGAGGTCTGAGGAAAGAATGCACATGTCTTGACTCCATTCTGCTTCCGTTCGCAGGTGTCCGCTGGTGCCTTCTGCTATCTGGTCTTCTGTGCCATCTGCCTTTTGGTTGCATTGTATGTCTATGTAATCATCCCTGAAACCAAAAACAAGACATTCATGGAAATCAGCCACATGTTTGCCTCTCGCCACAGCTTCCTGCCTAATTTGCCAGACTTTGTCAAGATGACCAGGTTCAATGGCTATGGTGCTCTGGAGAACAGCTCCCTGGAATTCTCTGAGTCAGAATCTAACTTTTCCTGAGGTTCCCCACGCACAGTTTTGGGAGGCTGTTTCTCTTCCATTTAGAAAGCCACCATGGTGAGCTTTCTTCTTTCTCTTAGCAAAAAAGAAATGATCTTATTGATTTTATTTCTTCAACTCCTTTCTTTCTGCCTGGCTAACAGTACAAAAAGGACATGGAGAAAACATTTGAAAGAGCATCTGATTTGGACCTAAAGAATCTGCTTCTGCCCACCTCTCAGCACTAGGGGGGCTCTTCAGTTTCAGCCCCTTACTTCCTCCTTCCCTGCCTTCTAGCAGCTGGGAATCAAAAGAAAACTCAGGAAATTCAGTCTCACACACCATATGGTCATGGGTAGAATTCATTCTCATTCTTCTAAGACATTTGTTTAATTTTATTTTGTTTACTATATTTCTATACTGCTCAATACCTGAAGTTCTCTGTATGCATTACAAAAGTCAAAACCTTAAATATATGTTATGAAAACCATTTACTTACAAACATATAAACAGACAGCAAATATGAAGACAAATATCTATCTAAAACAAATTTGGAGTTTTTTAGGGAGAGCTACCAGCCTGCTTCCAGATGTTCCTTACCTGAAGCTATGCTCACATGTGACCTGTGAACAGACATCAGAAGCAAGAGGTCACCCCTGTAGTTCTACAACCAAAAATCAATGCTAGAATAATACTGGTAGGTCAACATAGCACCTAATCTGTAAGAGTGCCGTGGGGAACTTGCCTTAAAAGGCAAGGTACGAAGATAAAATAAGGCAGTGGAGGTGGCAAATATCACAAGCAGCATAAGCAGGGGAATCTAGGAATAGCAGTGACATATTTACATTTGCACTCATCCACAATGAGAGTGCAAAGCCAAGACAAAAACAACCCATGTAAACACACACAGCAGCTATAGGAAGAACCAACACAACTACTCAGGCATATGCAAAATGTTCCTAAGTATCTACCAGGTGCAAAAATATGTGTACTTTGTACACCTTGACTCCTGGGCGATTGTGATGTATCATCTCTAATTCAAAGGTAAAACCCAAGTTTTGCAAGCAAGAGATCCCAGGGTCAGTCTCAGAGGCCTCCAGGTGCAGCTGGGGTGAGGGGGCACCCTCTCAAAAACCCTAGAGAGCCACTGTCAGGGTTGGCAGGCATGAGCTGGAAATGGAGCAATTGAGTGACGGGGATACAAGGAGTTGTTGAATACCACAAGTCCCACCTGAAGGACCTGCTTTATCAGTGTAACGAGACAAACCACCGGCCCAGAACAAGGAAGGCTACAGCCCGGATTCATGTGGTCCGGTCTTAACAGGACAAAAGCATTGCCATTTCTACAGAGCAATGCAGTAACATATAGCACTGGTCTTCAATAAATGGTTCATGGCCCACAACTGGGTCATGTTCCAACCCAAGACAGATTGCACTCCTGCTATAAGGCAGCAGTTCTGTTGCTGTCATTTTAAAAATTAAGCGAAGTCCCATCTGTTCTGTCTCAGCGAGGAAGGAGAGTGCAAAGGGAGGAAATAAATAATAAGGAAAGGAAGGGACTCGGAGCTCTACTTACGCCAATGTCCTTACAGCTTATCCATCCTATCTCATTGCACCTTCTCTGTCTTCCTGCACTGGCATGTTTCCTTGATGCTTCACCACCTGGCACTGCGGAGGAGACACTGTGGTGGGAGTCTCTTCTCCCTGTTGTCTGACTGCAGAACTATGGCAAAATGGGTGGGTGCTCCCTCTGCCTTCCAGCCAAGACAGAGTTTGTTTCTCCCAGTGCATTTGCTGTTTTCCAGTTCGTAAGGGTTAGAATAAAATGCTTCCTGACATTGTGATCCTCCCATTCTGACTTCATTTAACGTGTGAATGGCACAGTTATTTGAAGGACCATCTACTCCCTTATGAACCTGCCTGGGCACTGGGATGGGCCTCAGGGGCCAGGCTCCCAGGTTCACCTCTGAGAACGGTTCAACTGGCAGAGGGACGAGGCATTCTCAGTAGTGGCCCCTGGTTTGTGAAACACCCTCCCCATGCAAATAAGTAAGGGCCCTACTTTACTGGCTTTTATATGGACCTTGAAAATGTTTTCATTTCAAACAGCTTTTTAACCTATGGAGGTTCTGCGTATGCTTTTAACAACTCCTATTTTAATGCCGTAACATTTAGTAGGTTTTTTAAAAAAAGTTTTATATTGTGGTTTATATTTGATGCACTATGCATTATGGTCTTGCTGTAAACTGGCTTGGAAAGTTTTACCTGAAATCAGGCATGTAAATGTTTGAAATAAACAAATGGCCAAAGCAGGCTTCACATTCATATTATAGATAATCAAATAGAGACGTAAGGTTCATATGTGCAAACATCCAAAGCCAGCAGGTGAATACATTTTGAATTTTACGGAATGGTTCTTCTAAGATGTTGTTTGTTTGTGTTACCTGAAAGGTTTTGCCATCAATAACCACTAGATGTCCCTGTTAGTCAGTAATCTCAAGTGGATGCTTTGCCCAGCTGCACAACTATGAACATTCAGGATGTAATCCTAACCTTGTTACTTAGCAGAAAGCAAATGCTATGGGACTCATTGGGACAATAAACTTCTAAGGAAACACATTTAGAATCAGGCTTTCAAAATTGCTCCTGATTTGGAGAGGGAAGTTTTCCTGGCATGTCAAGTCTTTGTTGGTGGTCTCTTCCATACAGGAGAGGAAAGGGGTTTGGAGAGTGGCTTGACAGAGACCCCCAGTCTGGGCAAATCTGGTATTCTGTGACTTAGCCTCACTTATTTGTCCCCATAGCTTTTAAGCACAACCCCCCACAGCACCTTTGGATTATGGCTCATGTTTCCCAGAGAGTCAACCTGGATAAAGGGCAAAGTAGAAATTTAATAAATAAGTAAATAAAATGTCAGCAAGCACCTGTTTTTAATCCTCTGGTGTCACATGCTTTGACTTTAGATGCTCTTCTACCTTTGTTGTTTAACCATTTGCTTGATTCAACAAGATCCCTCTAAACAGGTGGAAGCAAAAGCTTTACGTCCCGTGAGATGCCGAAGTCGCCATATTCCTCCTATTTTCAGCAATGCGGACATTATGGATATGCACTAGCAGTGGCACTGAATCCTGTAGTAAAGTCTGACAAATGCAGATAGTCTCAGTGCAGATACGCCTGATTATCACGTCTGCATCTTTTGCCAGGTTCCATCACACTTGAGACTGTCCTGTGGGACCATATCCAGTCGGGTAGTGAACCACCAACGTGCAGGATTAAAGCCCTGGGAATTTTTGCTTAGCACAGTCAATAGCATCTGTCCACCCTTCACAGGTTTTCCTTTTCCAACTGAATGTAGCTGCAGTCGGAGACTGAATTTTCCCAACAGCAATATAGTGTTCCTTCTTGTAAGGTTAATTATTTTGGAGTGGCTTGGTTTTGAATGGGCCATTAAGATCCACTACAAAAACCCCTGCTCCCACTGGAGATGAAAACTGCTAGAGCGGATTTGTTGATAGGGATCGACAATTTGGTTTGCCTGGCTGTGGGAAACGTCATTTTTAAAATTTACCACTTCTACACTGATCATACCTACCTCTTATAGGAATTGCTTTATGGCTTTGGGTCAAGTTCTGAGCTGTTCTGCTTGTGTGAAAGCTGCGTGTGGGAGACAATTCCGGGATGCCACTCGGAGGCAACTAGCCACAGAGGAGGAGAAGGAAGGAGCACATTGACATCTTCAACAGAAACAGTTTCCCACACTTCAGAGCCAGAGACGTGAAAAATGTCACAGGCTGTACTGGCATCCAGGCTTCCTGTTTATGTGGGCTCAGAAAGTAGACCACTGCCTTCAGTGTTGCGTACGTCCCTAAATATCTACCCCCCCTCCAGGAGTGTCCTCACTTGAAGAGAAAGGGGTGGGGCAGCTGAGCACCCCCCCCCCTTCCTCTCTTCACCACTGAGCCAAGCGGTAAATATGTGCAACATTATGTATGTATAATGGAGTGTAAATAATCCCAAAAAGTGCCTTGTAAATAGACTCCAAGTTTATTCTTTATTAATGAGCCACTGAGCATCCTGCTGCTTTAGAGCAGCAAGGCTTTCATAATATCAAACCCTAAATTACACTTGGTGTCTCTCATTCCCTGCAAACGAGAATCATTTCAGGCCTCTTTGCAGCCTGTATTTATTTATTCATTTATTGATTTTTGCCAGAATGAGCGCAGCATTCTCTGTGCTGCTGTTTAGTAATATTGAAGCCCCTGTGAACTGGAACTCTGCCCCTGAAGCAAACGCTGTAAAAGTTGCTAAGGGGGATGTGGAAGCTGCTGCTCTGCTTCTAGTGCCCGATGCCTTCTCCTGTGTTTATGAGATCTTAGGCTCTGGTTGTGTCTTCTGTTGAGGCAGGCAGAAGTGGGAGGCAAGGTCCAGACCGATCTTGCACTTCAGCCTGGGTGTTTAACCTATCAGAGGCTAACTCCATGCCAAGCCAACTCCACGTTTTGCTCAGTTGCTTTTCTCTGTAAGTGGCAAGTCCAGCAAGTTGCAGTGGGGTTCATCTATAGCAGAGTAGGCAATTCTGGGGCCCTTCCGGGGTTTGGGACCTCACTCCCATAATCCCTGACTACCAGCCACACTAGCTGGGTGAATGGGGGTAGTAGCTATACATAGTAAGAAGTAAATGTTGCATCATGTTACAATTTGGCAAGAAATCAGAACCGGAATGTATTATTTGGAGATGTTTTTCACTTAAATGTTTGTTAAAATTCTGCTATGGCAATCAGACCTAGGTCTGGCCCTAATGGGCAGATATTGTCTCCGGTACCAGAGATAGTATGTCACAAGAGCCATGCTGGATCAGCCCAAGAGCCCATCTGGACCAGCTTTCTGTTCATCCAGTGGCCAAACAGCTCCCACAAGCAGAACGTGAGTGGAGCAGCACCTTCCCCATCCCCAAGTTCCCCAGCCACTGCTGTGCATTTTTCATACTGCTCTCCTCCTGGGGGCAGCATAGCCCCATCAGGCCTAGTAGCTGCGGATAGCCTTCCCCATCAAGAATGCCTCTGAGCACTATTTGCTGAAGACCAGGAGCAAGAACATGCTCTTGCACCCATGTCCTGTATAACAGAGTGCTGGACTAGACAGGCCTTTGGTCTGATCTGGCAGGGCTCCTCTTCTGTCCTTACCGGTGACTGGGGACAGGGTTAGTTCAAATCAGTTCCTAGGCCTTCTCCCATATTCTGTCAGTGCAAATAGATGGTGGGGTTGGGGTTCATGTGAGCCTATGCATCACGTATGAGCTGTAACGGCAGAAAACCTGGTGGGGATGTCAGGGAAAGAAATGGCCTCTTCTTCTGACTATCTGCAGAAAAACAGGAGGTTGAAACAATGCCTTTCTGCCATCTAAAATCCTATTGGGCAAGGACTGTAATACATGCCTTTCACATATATATATATATCCCACGCTTCTTCTTTTCGTATGAACTTTTTGTACCATCCATATCTACACATCCCCCAGCAAGTCTAAAGATGTCAAGCAGCGAATGAGCAGAACCCTTTCCCTTGATTAAGTATCAGTGATTATGCTTTGGTAAGCAAGGGACAATCAGCTGGACCTCATAAAAAGTGTAGCAACTGCTTTGTTTTAATAAATGCTTCTAGGTCCTGCTGTTTCGGACTTGGTTGCAGGCTGGTTGTGTGCTTGGTTTTGTTTTTTGATTGCTTTCGGCAACGTTCGCAGCGCTGATGCGAGGCAGGTGATAGAACCCAGGAGACAGAGGAAGTCCCATCCAAGCAAGCAGCGTAGACATCCATTCCAAGAACTTACGGAACCTTTCCATTGCTGATCTATTTTTCATGAACTGTCTTATAGATCTTGCAGGGCTGAGCAGCTGGCTGGGGGTCATGGAGACGGTAGTCCAATATATCTGGAGGGCATCAGGTTG